GAACAAAGACTCATCTCGAACAGAGTCTTCACAAAGAGACACCACATAATATCCAAGCAGAGATTGAGTGTGGAGTGGACACTCACATTCACAAAGAAATGGTAATCTAGGACTGACGTGCTAACAGTTTGCATCACCCTACCGGGTACCCACGCCCCTGTTGAGTGAACTCGAACAGCCCCTTGTCTACGGAGACACCCCATAGTGTACACGCTGTGATTGAGTGTAGGGTGGGACACTCACACTCACAAAGAAATGGTAATCTAGGCCTGTTATAACTCCTATTCTTTAAACTCATGATCTGTATACATGATATTGTTATACTCAAATATGTTTCATAAATTATTTTTAAATATAACTTTGCATAAATAACTAAATTGTGAATATATTAACTATGACTCGTCGCTGGAATAATGCCGATGCGACGTTAAATTTTAACTCACTCACTCACTTAAACTCATGATCTGTCATAACACCTATATAGACTACGACATGGACTTGGTTTGACAAACGTAATACAGTAAACTACAGTTATATCGAACACGCTTATAACGAACTGACGGATATAACGAACTAATTTTTAGTCCCGACTATTTGCTGTAGTTATGCTGCATATATGCTTATAACTACGGTTATAACGAACTAAAAATAGTAGTCCCTTTGAGTTCGTTATAACCGTAGTTTACTGTACTCTGGTTTCAAAATGTCTATTGGCTGTTTTTCTCTCACATAAAATAGCATGCCGAATTAGACAAGTTGCCAGGTTGCACTAAATGTCACAAACGATGTGTGCTTCCAGTTATCAGTTCCGAAGATCAATCATTCCATTTGACAAGATTCCGAGTTCTACTCGTCTCTTTTGTACACAGGACGTTTTCCTTTTCAGAACCTGTATAGCGTTAAGGGAGGGCGTTGAACAGTTATATTTAAAACGGGGCACTGACGTTGAATTTATAGCCATTTTTTTTCTCCTTTTCTACAAATGTACAAATTATACGTTATGCTCAATCAACCCAAATTAGAATGATATATAACCATGTAATTAATTTTATCAAATGTCTAACTCCATTTTCTTTTTTCGATTAGAATATCTTCAAAAGCCAGTCATCTGAACTTAAGCTGCAAAATAACAAAAGCGTTTTACGGTCATTCATTTTGTTACGATGTGTAATTCCTTCACCACAATGAAATGTCTTCCCCGTCCAGTCAGCCGACATCAGATCACGAGTTACGGAAACTGATCTCAAGGACATTCGGTTCGTTTCTATGCCTACTCTTTACGCCTTGAATATTTTCTGCATCCACGAAACTGTCCCTCACAATGTAATTTCACAGTATGTCTCACCTATTCTTCGTTAACAGTACAAAGGTATACGAGGCGGAACAAACATCCTGCGGAGTTAGTCGACGGTGACCTTGACCATTGTTTAAAGTGACGTAACCAGATCCACTGCGTAGCGTAGCATGACGACGTAAGAGGCTACTGGTCACTTGCGTCCACTTTTGTCCCTACCATCAGTTGTTTGTTCGTTATGTAACCCAGATTAGAAGATAATCATTTGTGTTGATTTATCATCAAAGAGATGTAAGACTTGTTTTATTTACAACTTTATACCCAGAGACTTCTGAAGTTTTGTTGCTTTTATTTAATCTTGGAGTGTGAAAAGAACTTGGTTTGACTTATTAAGCGATTAAGCCATTTTGTACAATGTGAGAAGTTTATAATGTAAGCATTATTACAACATAATCCTGTACAGAAAGTTTGCCTAGAACGCTGGAGTATGTGCCCTAGGGGTTCGTGGGCAGAATATACAGAGATTGTTTGTCAAATATATTTCCGTATCGGAATAAAAATTGTATTTTGTGAGCAATTGTTTTCTGGACTAACATCAAGTCTCTGAAATGAAAATATCAGCGAAAAACAGTTGCTAAATTATCTTAACAAAATATAATAAAAAGAATCCCTAAAACTAGTAGAGACTTGCATGGGCCTAACAGGCGACTATGCTTTTAGTAAGAGGCGTCTAACAGGATCTGGTGGTCAGGCTCGCTGACTTGGTTGAAGCATGTCATCGATCCCAATTGCGTGGATCGATGATCGTTCATGTCAATCACTGGATTGTCTGGTCTAGATTCATTTACTTATTTATTTGCAGACCGTCGTCATTTAGCTGGAATATTGCTGAGTGTGGAGTTAAACAACAAAAGAAAACAAAAATACCTCGTAAGATAGCAGTAAGATATACAGTACACAATACATACAAAATCGAGGGATCGATGTGCGCAGGTAACGTGTCCCATCATCAACTGGAAACGCCGAGTCCTGCCCAAACGTATTTGGTAAATTTGAGTGAATACAAAAAACAAAAACAAAAAACAAACAAACAAAAAACCCAAAACAGATCAATATCTGAGTCATAAAATATTTCACAATTCATTTTCGCCCTGTTTGGATTTTCACGTATCGTTTGCATCGATACTGATAAATTCAATATTTACTATAATGCAAGTTTCGATTCATCGATTATTTATTTGAATTATTAATCACTTCAAGCATTTTTTTCATAATATACCTGATAGTTTAACATAATAGTTACTAGACATTGGCTTGTTTCCTATGCATGGTGACCACCTCTGAGCGTCTGTCCGGAGGTTCGATCCCCGGCCGCGTCATACCAAAACACATTGAAAGATGGTACTTGTTGTTTCCCTGCCTGGCGTTCGGCATTATGGCATTAAACAAGGACGTCGTCTCGGAGTCAGTATACTATATCTGAGCGGGGTATTTGTGTTAAACTGCGTTGTGCTATAGCTCAGTGGGCTAGCAAATTACAGCAGACATGCTTCATCATGTGCGGTACTGGTTAGAATTGATCTCCAGCAACCCCTGCCGTTAGTAAGAGACGACAAAATAGATGAGGTGGTCGGGTTTGGAGACTTGCGTGTTATCGTTCCATAACGGGGTGGATCGTTGTTCACAATATCAATCACTGGGTTGTCTGGTCCCAATTTGATTATTTATAGAGCGTTGCCATATTGCTGGAATATAGCTGAGTGCGGCGATAAACAACAAACAAAATCAACTTGATATAATAAACACTGAATTTTCAGACATTTTCGCACATATGCAAGTACTTGGCCTGATATACCGTTATGTGGATAGCATCGGGCATGTTCTTTGGAGTCCCTCTGTCTCAGGGATATTCTTTAGAATGCCCCTCGCGAGATAAGATGTGTGGAGTGATGTACCATCAAACAACAAATGTCTAGACCCGTGAAGATTCCGGGGTGGAATAAGTCTTCAACAACCCATGCTTGCCGTAAAAGGTGACTATGCTTGTCGTAAAAGGCGATTAACGGGATCGGGTGGTCAGGCTCGCTGACTTTGTTGATGCATGTCATCGATCCCAATTGCGTGGATCGATGCTCATGATATTAATCACTGGATTATCTGGTCCAGACTCGATTATTTACAAACCGCCGACATATAGCTGGAATATTGCTGAGTGTGGCGTTAAATAACAAACCAACCAACCAACCAAATCGTATCTGTAGTCCAGTGAGTGAAGCACTAGGCTTTAAAGATTCTTCTTTTCAAGTCCAGCGAGAGATATTTTACGTCCGCTTCCCAAGGTCCATGGAAAGTATGTTTGAAAATGTTGATAAATGTTGTTTCAGATTTTTCTTTCGGTTTATAAGGGAAAAAAACCTTCTCGGTTTCGACTAAGAATATAAGCCCGGGGAATCGAGAAATTGTGTCAAACACTATAAACGATGATAATGTAGTAGTATGTTCATGAAAACAAGTTAGCGTTCTTGAAGGCCATCATCGCGTTTCGGCTGATTTCTGACCAGTGTATCGCTAACACTATTTATAGCGTCAATCAGTCATCAGACTAACATTTCGTCCCAGAAATAAAGTTATCTTGTTTCAACATATATATCTACAAAATACAAAATATATTCCAAAAGGAGCCCGGAACAAGGCAGAGGCAATCTACATTTGACAAGCCGTTCTAGACTTGCGCCTTTTTACTGTATTCTCTAGGTATTGGGAGACTAATCATTCACATAAAATGACAGACAATATTTTCCTTGTTCTTTTGAGTCATTAAGTATGACAGATGTGACTTGCAGCGAGTGTGTGAAATCCCCTAAAAAAACCCAGTTCTGTCAAAAATGCAGACTGTCAAACCCAAGGCATCATTGGTGGAAGTGACTTCCGGTACACGCAGATGATCCGGGCACTTCTGTTGATTGGTGGCGGGAAGGTAAGGCAACACATGTGTTTTTGTGGAGGTAGATATTACTGGCCTGATATTTATTTCACTTTTCATACTCTTAATATGACTTTTAAGAAATCAGACATGAAGTCTTGTGCATTGGTGCTTTTCCAAGCGGTTCTCTGTTGATGTGGCCGTCACTTTTGTCTAGACCCCCGATGAAGATCCGGGTTAGAATTGTTCTTCAGCCACCCATGCTTGTCGTAAGAGGCGAAACAGGATCGGGTGGTCAAGTTCGCTGATGCATGTCATCGTATCCCAGTTGTGTAGATCGATGCTCATGCCATCAATCACTGGATTGTCTGGTGACCCGTGAAGATTCCGGGGTAGAATAGGTCTTCAGGAACCCATGCTTGCCGTAAAAGGCGATTAATGGGATAGGGTGGTCAGGCTCGCAGACTTGGTTGATGCATGTCAATGATCCCATTTGCGTGGATCGATGCTCATGATATTAATCACTTGGCTGTCTGGTCCAGACTCGATTATTTACAGACCGCTGTCATATAGCTTGAATATTGCTGGGTGCGGCGTTAAACAACAAAACAAACAACCGTATACAGTGTCATATTAGGTCAGAAAAATATTGGACGAGGCGTCAGTAAACCATAACAGTGTGTCCTGAGGCAGATGAGGTGATTGTTCATTTAAAGATTTATTTCCAGATGAAGTGTATTGGTGTTGTGTCCTTGCCAGGAAGACGGGAGTGAATGAAGAATTATGGATAATCAGTACACTGAGGACTTTTTCGAGTCGCTCATTGAAATACTGCAAGGAGCTTGTACAAGGTTTCTGAAGTTCAGAGACATTGTGGAACTAAATGGCTACATGTGTGTTGAGATAGATAGCAGGAGGAAAGAGGTGTATGTCCTCCGTGAGAGGGTTGCCAGAAGTGGTAGTGTCACCAGTGAGAGCTATTGTACACATGTGTTGAACACACCCATGACTTGCACAGGGAGTCCAGTTAAACCAGATCAGCTTAGTGTTGAAGCTGGAAGTGTACCTTTAATATATAGACATGCCACCCCTAAAATGGTCCAGCCAATGATCTCACAACAGCCCGTCCCTTGCAATGTGTTGCCAGTCTCCTCTCAAACAGTGACCTCACAACAGCCAGTTCCTTCCAGGGTATTGCCAGGCTCCTTTCAAACAGTGACCTCACAACAGCAAGTTCCTTCCAGGGTGTTACCAATCTCCTCTCAAACAGTGACCTCACAACAGCCAGTTCCTTCCAGGGTGTTACCAATCTCCTCTCAAACAGTGACCTCACAACAGCAAGTTCCGTCCAGGGTATTGCCAGGCTCCTTTCAAACAGTGACCTCACAACAGCCAGTTCCTTCCAGGGTGTTACCAATCTCCTCTCAAACAGTGACCTCACAACAGCAAGTTCTGTCCAGGGTATTGCCAGGCTCCTTTCAAACAGTGACCTCACAACAGCCAGTTCCTTCCAGGGTATTGCCAGGCTCCTTTCAAACAGTGACCTCACAACAGCAAGTTCCGTCCAGGGTATTGCCAGGCTCCTTTCAAACAGTGACCTCACAACAGCCAGTTCCGTCCAGGGTATTGCCAGGCTCCTCTCAAACAGTGACCTCACAACAGCCAGTTCCTTCAAGGATGTTGCCAGTCTCCTCTCAAACAGTGACCTCACCAGAGCCAGTTCCTTCTAGGATGTTACCAGGCTCCTCTCAAACAGTGACCTCACAACAGCCAGTTCCTTCAAGGATGTTGCCAGGCTCCTCTCAAACAGTGACCTCACAACAGCCAGTTCCTTCCAGGGTATTGCCAGGCTCCTTTCAAACAGTGACCTCCCAACAGCCAGTTCCTTCCAGGGTATTGCAAGGCTCCTCTCAAACAGTGACCTCACAACAGCCAGTTCCTTCCAGGGTATTGCCAGGCTCCTCTCAAACAGTGACCTCACAACGGCCAGTTTCTTCGAGGATGTTGCCAGTCTCCTCTCAAACAGTGACCTCACAACAGCCAGTTCCTTCCAGGGTGTTACCAGTCTCCTCTCAAACACTGACCTCACCACAGACAGTGCCACCTAGGAAGATGCCAGGCCCTTCACAAACAGTGACCTCAGTTCCCCTTGTGGTCCAAGTCCCTAATGTGTCCTATGTCTTAGCTCAGCCTCAACTGACAATAAAAAATCCCATGGGTACGCACAACCACAGGACGAATCCAAAAATCCAAAAATCAACTTCAGATGGTAAGCCTCAACAGGGTGCAACCCCATCGATGTTATCCAGTCCCAGGCAGGGCCAACAAACCAGCTTGTGCCAGCCAAGTCCAGTTCAACCTTTTCCAGTGTTCCCCAACAACTTCAGACCTGAAAGCTGCCAGTCCATACTTGATGACATAGTTGACCTTGTACCTGATTCCTTGATGCACAAATTGGAAGCAGCAGAGCAAGATTCTTTGTCCCGAAGTCATGTTTTGGAAAAGAAAGAGAAACGGTTCATACAAGACTTTCATCCCTTACCAGGGAAAGGACCAATATGTGTTCTAGAAAAGAGTCCGCCTAACTGTCGTCGTTCCATACATACAGCACACGGAAAAGAAGAGGAGCCGAAAGTGGTACCAGATTCAAATATGCAAAAGAGTGTGATTAACAAAACAAAGGAAGATGCTTCCAACCTAATTTATTTGGATTATGATGGTGACGATAGTGATAATGATGAGGTCATTGACCTTGACCTGTTTGACGATGACATCTACTCTTCATCCATGGATATCTGTGATGAAGGACATCAATCAAAACATGAAAATAAAGGGAACGGGAAAGCGAGGAGAAATCAGATGTCATCAGTTAATATGATGATGAAGTTCCACCAAAGCAAGACAGGCAAGACCGTTGATTTGCTTTCAGTGGGCCCTAAGGAAATTGAGAGTATGCTCCTGGAATACTTCAAGGGGGCTCTTTCGCGGAATAGGGGAGTACAGCTCAGTCCAACAACTATGAAGGCAACCCTGTATTCTGTGAGACGGTTTTTAAGAGACAAAGGATATTCATTTTTGCTCACCAAAGACCTTGAGTTTCGGTCAGTGAAACAGTACATCTCCAGTCTGTCCAAGTCAGTCTCTAAGACAAAAACTCTCCCTTTAAATGACCATGACATTGAAATCTTGTTTCAAACAAATCAGCTCGGGGATCATGACCTCTTGACTCTCACTTACAGCATGTGGTTTGTCAATTCTAGATACCTTGCTTTGCAAAGACCAGCTGAGCATTTCAAGCTCAAGTGGGGTGATGTCGTCTTGAAGATGGACCATCAAGGCTGTGAATACCTGGCCCGATCTGTGGGGGCAGACAAAGTCTACAAAGTATATGCCAAGCCGGAGACACCAGATCGATGTTTTGTCACTTTGTACAAGCAGTTCAGGAAGCGAAGACCTAAACTAACTTTGGATGAGAGCCAGCCATTCTATCTGAAACAGGGCCACCAGGGAATGGCTCAACAAAATATGTTCAAAACAGAGGCATTGTCTGTTGACTTCTTTAAAAGAATCTGGAGAATAATGCTGGTGTCTTCGGGCTTGCCCGCCATGAAGAAGATTTGTCTAATTTGAAGAAGTCTAATAACGACTGAGTTACGGGTGAAACGATACAGCAAGGTCACGATACGATAAGTATCACTATACATAGGTCACGATATGATACGTATCGCGATAAGCATATTTACGTCAAATCGCATGGAAACTTCTTGACAATAAATATTTCAGAGCAAGTTCAAAAGGAAAAGCTAGCTGTAAACACATGTTCGTAGTGGCTATTTTTAGTAGTGAACTTAAAGAACTAATTAACACATTTTGCGATATATGACACTTCACACGAGTATTTCAGCAAGTGTATCGATACAGAAAAAAACAATGTGTATCATATTGTCCCATGAATCATTGTGCACCGATGTATCGTTTCACCCCAAGACTCTGGACTTTTGTTACAGGATATGTGATTCTGATGCTATAGAAGAGCATGTTTTGCTCAGTGACTGTCTGCTCTACAGAAATTCTGTCAAACAATTAACAACAAACATCCATCAGGTCTTAACCTGCTTTTTAGTTGAAGTTAATATATGGGATGTGACAGATCAGAAAAAAGAGCTGCTCTAATTAATAGCAAATGCTAGGCCATCTTTGTTCACTATATGCACATAGTATACCATATTCGACGTAATAAGCGCCCAGGGCGCTCTCAAAATTAGAAATAGGGGGCTCTTATTAGAATATAATATTGGTGAAAAAAACAACAGATTTGAAAGATCGTAAATTTCGTGGTTTATGCAGACAGCCTGAAATGATAAGAAAGAAAAGTCTGTGCGTATTATACACGACAGATATATTTTCCAGAATTTAATTGCCCATAATTAAGGGTGTATATAACACATGAGTGCGTGTTATACACGAATAAATAAGTGGACGGGGTGCTAATTGGGATTGTTCACTCGCCAATATATTAGCAAATATTGCTGTGGGCGCTTATTAGAGCGGGGCGCTTATAAGTTATTCCGTCGAATACGGTATATTTAATAGTTTTTAAACCATTTATATACATGTTTAATAATGTTCCTTTTTGTAACAAATCGTTGACAATCTTATCACAGGTGATTTCATGTTTGAAATACTGTCACTTTAAAATCATTGTAGGTTTGGGTATTCGGGTGGCTTTATATTTGAAACATGGTCATTTTGAAATGACTGATGTTTTATTTTGATATGCATTGTGATTTATATGTCATTCCAAACGATTGTAGGGTTAGTTTATATAATGAGGAGACCCATTGTTGTTTAGATGTTATTTGATGTGTTAATGATTATGTTAGTGAGTATCATTGTGGTAGCGTGTTTATTATGGGTTCAAAACAGACTTGTTGCCATGGTGACACCATTCGATGATGATGCATGTGTGATATGACTGTGATAGCAGAGGAGATCTGTGATATATGTGAACTTGGTTTTAAACCAGCAGCAAGTCCTGTATGTATCAGTGTATAATTCACAGACAGCAAGTCTTGTCTGCCTGTAGTGTATGAACGCCTCCATGGTCTAGTGCTAAAGCGTCCACCCAAAGAACGGAAGGTTGGAGGTTCGATCCCCGGCAGTGTCATACCATAACATGGTACTTGTTGTTACCCAGCCTGCCACTCAGCTTTAAGGGGCACAAACAAGGACTAGTTGGCTTGGAGTCTGTGTCTGAGTGGGGTATTCATGTTCAACTGCGGCATGGTATCTCAGTGGGCTAGCACTACAAAATCAGCATTAGTACATGCAGCCACATACACGTGCATGCACGTCGCTATGTAAGTGCTATATTGAATGCGACGTTTAACCAATTTTCACCTCACCTCGCGTGTAGTGTACAATTCACAGACAGCAAGTATGTCTGCCTGTAGTTCACAGACTGCAGCGAAGTAGTTTGTCCTATTTCCAGACAGTATCTCAATCTATACATTGACTTGTTGTGTTAATGTCTGTTAGATCAGAGTTATGTTCGCTCAGCTGGTAGGAAACCGGTAGCCCATATGTCTAGCCTTTCAAAATAATGATGATGCAAATAGAAGACCATTAAGTAAAAAAAATGATTGCGATTTTGTTGCGAATATCAATTATCCTAGATACATTTAGTCAATTTCCGAGAGATAAATATTCATAATATTCGTAAAAAAAAGTATTTAAATGTCCTGAAAGTGCTGAAGTCTCACGTTCTGTAATCGGCTTCAAAACCTATTAGGGGGTGTGGCCTAAAGCTACCAGCGCAGCGGTGACAACTGTTTTCATTGGCTGATGCATTTGCCATGTTGATCTGTCTTGTGAGTCTTAGCCGCTGTACATATATTGTTTCTGTTATTTTGTGATTAAGTATGCCCTACAGTATTAACATCTACTATGTTGACTTTATTTGCCCTTGAGCACCTGCTGCCTAGTATCTTCACTTACCATTATGTGAAGAAACACTGGCACTACGTACTCCGGATTGAATAATGGCGCTGTGAATGAAGGCTCTGTATCAGTTTGTCATACCGCCAGCCTAGGTTTTCATTGAAATTTTAACTTTCTGCTGACTCGGGTAGAATTTATCAGTCAATACCAAGATGAGTAGAGACTGCTAAAGGCTCTAGTTGCTGGATGTTTCGGTATTGATTCTAGCTATGTCTGATGCATGTCCAAATTCACGCCTACAAACCAAAACCACTTTTTGTTTTTAATATATCATGTCATGATATTTTTAGTTATTCATCCTTTGAGATACAAATAAACCATAATTACATACAAAACACTAGCTGCATTGTTTCTGATTCCCCGCCACAAAGTGGGGTGGGGGATATAGGAATGAAGTTCGTCCGTCCGTCTATCCAACTGCTTTTCAAAAGAGACAAATTTTATCAAAAACTATTTGAGTTAGAGAAATATTATTTTACACACTGATGTTACTGGTTATGACCTTAAATGAGTTCTAAAATTGGTGTCTTAAATTTATTTTTTACATTAGTTATGGCCCTTGCTCCATGCTTTTCAACTTACTGCAAAGTGTCTCCAATGGGGACAAGTTTTCTCAGAAACCTCTGAAGTTAGCTTTTATAAGAGATACTTATCAAGACTAAGTTTGAGAATTGGTGCCATAATTTATTTTTTTCCAGAGAAGGGGCCTTTTTGTGTGTAATAATAATTTTGGTTGAAATATTTTGTGCGAAAATCCCTGTCTAATATTTGTACCAGCTGTGTACACTGATATGACTTGAGTCTTCTTAAATTGAAAGCCAACACAAATTAAGTTGTATGCTGGATGTCTAGAGGAATGTGGTTGACATCCTCAGGTCGAGATGATCAAGGGGAGACAACTTGTTCAAGTTATCTCCCTTGATTTGAAAGCACAAGCTACCATTAGCACTACCCCGTGGTGAGTATGTGCTTGCTTGTCAAGCCTGTGTTTGATTCCTGATATGGGAATATTGAAGGTAATTCTTGCTCTCCCCTGCTACATCTCCTCTCCCTTTGTTGGCTTTGCCTCTGATTCAAGAGGTCATCACGTAGCAATAGTCCAGCTACATGTATATGCCTGTATGAGGCCTGTATGTAATCAAATCTGGACCAGACCATTGATATTATGAAGAAATTTTCCATGCTGGCAGGGTAGGAGATACGCAATCAATCAAGTCACTGAGTTGGACCATCAAATCCATTTTATCGCCTCTTACGACCAGCAGAGGTTGGAGGTTAATGCCTAAGCCCAAAGTTTGTTGTTTAATGCTGCACTCTGCAATATTTAACCTATAAGACTACGGTCTGTAATTGAGTCAGGACCAGACAATCCAGTGATTGTTATCATGAGCATCTATCTGCATTTGGGATACGATGACATGCATCAACCAAGTCAGCGAGTCTGACCACCCGATCCCGTTAGTTGCCTCTTACGACAAGCATAGTTGCCTTTTACGGCAAACATGGTTTGCTGAAGATCCCAGATCTTCACGGGGAGCTAAGCCAAAATTCCAGGTTTGATTCCAACATAGTGAAGCCAGTGTGTGAATTAGTCTCCAAAGTTCACTGACCAGGAGGGCTTGTTAACAAAACAACGTTGCAAGCCCACATCATATCTTACTTGCCTAAAACACTTCTGATATTAAACCTACAAAATAAAAACAAAATGACAGCAGCATTTGACATTAAATGACGACATAACTGACTTGATGATTCATAGAAATAAATATGTATTGACTGGAAGTAGACAGACGGGCCAACTTTACGGAAATGTTTTTTTACCAGCCCAGTTTAAAGTCCCTGGCATTTAGCTAGCAGGTAGGCAGGCAGGCAGGCAGCTATTTCTAACACTGTGTAGAGCCTATACCATACTAAGAGACTGTGGCTGTAATAATAGAAACAGTGTCGTGAAACCATTTCACTCACTCACTCTGACCCAAGCATGATTTAGCTTACGATTTGTTGCGGATGAGGTGAAATGGGGTTTAACGCCTCAGTCAAGATTATTGCACATATATTGTGAGTGAGTGAGTATGGCTTTATGCCGCTTTTAGCAATATTCCAGCAATATCACAGCGAGGGACACCAGGAGTGGGCTTCACACATAGTACCCATTTGGGGAATTGAACCCAGGTGTTTGGCGTGATGAGCGAACACTTTGATCACTCGGCTACCCCACCACCCACTTATATTGTGACATGCTGCTTGAACTAGTCCAGAGTATTGCCATTGTTTTTAGATACCATGCCACAGTTTAAACCACTCACACTCCGTATAGTGATTTCGAGCTGACCAGTCCTTGTTTTAACCACCGACCTGCCCTATAGCCAGAGGCTCCCTATCCACTAGACCAGGGAGGTGGTATATTTGTACCAGGGAGGTGGTATATTTGAGAGCCGTGACCTCGTACTGAATTTCAGTTATAGCAGGTTCGAATCTGATGCTTCAAAGCGTTTGTTGCTCTGTTCAGGTTCTAAACTGATTTCAAATAAAAGTACAGCTATGTTGTACAGGGTTAAGTGAGTGAGTGAGTTGGGATTAACTCTGAACAGTTTTTAGAGGACTGGGCCACCTGTGCCCACCAATGTTAAGACACCTGGATGCATACTTGGCTCCTTGGGTATTTTCCTAGGAACATGGAACTATGTTCTTTTCCGAGGCTCAAACCGCAGCAAACATTCACAAAGACATTAAAGGGTTTGTATTTTTTTATTTTTAGCCCTTCCACGTTGCTTCAGGTCTACATTTACATACAGTCATGTGATCAATATGGTTTCCATGGCAACGTGTCTGGTACTACTAAAACTTGAAAATATGGACGACAATTGGTGAGAAATCGCCATCTTTATCATATATTCAGTGATGTGCCCACAATCTTCACTGAGGTAGAACAACAAATAAATAACAGAGTTCAACTTACGCATCTAGAGAAGCAGATCCTCCACCAACAAGTTCAAATCTAGTTCAACACTTGATCCTCTTGGACACTGACCACAAATAGAACACCAGACAACGCAACTCTGACAATGGAGGTGTGTGAAACAATACACACTTCATGCATCAGAGAGACTTAAATCAACATGTTAAGCACATTGTCCAGGTTTACTTTGCAGGTAGAATATGGCTAGCCTTTGTAATTACTAGTGTTAACCATTTGGGTAGTTTCAAAGTGACCAGGCAAATTATTCTGGAGCTAATTATTTTAGGGGCAAATATGACTCAATTTAACATTATTAATTGAGATATCAATTCATATGCTGATGATGGCATTCCCAAAACGGATAGTCAATTATCTTGAAGAAAAATGGATTCAAGGGAACCATTATTCGATTTTGATGTATTAAAAATTTCAAACCAAAAAATTATTGAAGAGCTATTTTTATCAGGTTGCAGGGCTTATCAAGATTTTGTTCATTCTCAAATTTGAACTTGTCAGTGGTGACGAGATGAAAATGCCAAGTTTGCGTACAATACTCTAAGTGGCTAGATGTCTGTCTATTGTACAGTGGATCGAAAGTTCAGTGGACATCGGCGAGGACAATATACTGACCAATATATTCTGAGAAAATCTACAAATGAGATGACAACAAAAAGCAGCAAATTAAGTCACTGCTGTGGAAAATATACATGTTATGGTATCAATATACATGACATTTTCTTTACAAATATAATACAGAAAAAACAACTTATTAAAATGAGACTTGATGGAGTTATCTCCCCTTCCTGTGTCATGTATATTCACGTTTAACATATCACCATTCTATGATAATGAAGACTTTGTCATTTTCACTTTGTAATTCATCCTTTTTTCATTTTTATGAGAATTTTACAGTACTTTCGAGATTTAAATGCATTAAAGGGAGATAACTCTTCAGCAAGCTCAAAAAGTTACACATATATATCTCTTGAATTAGTTTTCCTGTTACAGTGATAATGCTTGTACCTCCTACTGACATGGGGATTCTAGCAAGAGATAAACAATAATCACACAATATTACATTCAAATGTGAGCAGCTTTATTCTCAAACTTTCATATATGCTGGGATGATTTCCCTCATTCTCAGGCAAAGACTTTTGACAAATTGTTTCGGTTTTCTTTTCTCAAATTCACTTTCAATTTCTAAATGGGCTCCTGGGGGTCAGAATTTCCAATTTTAGGTCTAAAAGTAGGAACATATTTATTTTTTGAAGGACTGTTTCAATGATATGTAAAAATAGCCTGAGAACAAGAACTAGCCTCATTAAATTAATATAGTATACTCATTTATGAAAGATATTGTTACTTCAATTATCAACAGGCATTAAGAATATTTAATGATATCGTATTCGACGCAAAAAGCGCCCAGGGCGCTCTCAAAATTAGAAATAGAGGGCTCTTATTAGAATATAATTTTGGTGAGATTAAAAACGAGGTTGAAAGATTGTAAAATTTGTGGTTTATGCTGACAGCCTGAAATGATATAAAAGAAGAATCTGTGTGTATTATACATGATAGATATATTTTCGAGAATTTAATTGCCCATAATTAAGGGTGCGTATAACAAATGAGTGCGTATTACACACGAATAAATAAGTCCTCTGTTCATTGATCAATCGGAAAGGGTGCTAACTGGGATTGTTCACTAGCTAATATATTAGCAAATAACGCCGTGGGCGCTTATTACGTCGAATCAGTATTTGCATTATCATGTGTCAAGAAGTTTGTTGTCAAATATTTAGATAAATTATTGATTTTGTACAAAATATGTAACATTAATGTTAGCGATATTGAAACTGTACTACAATAACAATTTACAATCATTAAAAAATAAACAACAGAAAATTGGCAAACACAACAGCAGGTGACTACAAAACTTTACTTTGAGAAAAGTATCCATTGTGATATTATTTCTGTTGAATGAAATCCTATTTTAGCTGTGATGATGGTGACAGATAACATGGAGCCGGCGACAATACTTGATATGTACTTCTGCCCTGAATTCTTCACATGATCAAGAAAACTTGTTCATATTTGAATTTTGAAAATGTAATCAGAAATGGTGGCTTGAGATATTAAAATATCATTCTAAATATAAAAACTCTTTGCCATCCAAAGTAAAATATCCATCTATTTGAATTTTATTTTGAGATGAATATCCATAATTGTATAAATTTGAGATCATATTTCAACAAACATTTCATTTTACTATCAAGCACCACAGATTATTTTTATGATATTGAAAATATCAATTTGTGTTAGCGAATAAATTAAGTTTTGCTGGCAGTGGAAGAGGTGACATTAAATCTCATTGGAGCATATATCCCAACTGTCGTCTTTTGCGTAGAAAATACCTTAAAAAGGCTTGTTTCAGAAAAAAACTACATTGTTTATTAATTATCAAAATAAAGACATGATTGATATAAACTTCTTGTGAAATCTGATGTTTTAGATCTAAATACAAGATATTTGAAACACGATTGCAACAAAACATTGTTTATATTTTAAAAACACTGATTAAGAAACCATTATCAAAACACTGTTATTAAATTGTGTGATATATTGTTCAAAATGAATAGAACCTACTTTGAAAGACTTCTACAAGGAAATGCCATTTCTACATTGTCAACGGAGGGAGGCATGCCGTCACAATTATAGGATGGGGCTACATGTTGGTTGCCATAGTGACGGGGGTTATAAATAGCTAAATATGTAAATGACTCGAGGTTTATGAAAAAGAAAACAAATTTATCACAATCAGACCATTAAAGTTTAATATAAAACAATTCTAAGTAATTTTGGTATACGAAGCATCTCCAGATATCTGAATGCCGCCTCAAGGGAGTTGATTGTCCTCAAATGGTTGCCAACGATCACGTGACCAAGTCACGTGACTCTGTGTCATAAAATTGTTCGGACACACCATCACACATATCCATGATTTGAGGATGAACAAGTCACAAAACATCCTGACGAAGATTTACATCACGTTAAGAAAATAAACGTACACCGTTTTCGGATGCTTCTTGTCAGGTGTTGGTTAAGACAGAAGCACTTTGTACAAGGTAGACAACTCTTCCCGGCAGATATTGCTGTCCATTTTTATAACCACATCTTGGTTTTATCCCGTGAACTTTTTCCCTTCACAACCTTTCTTTGGTTAAAGCATGTATATCGTCCAATCAGAAACATCTAACAAGGTTTCTGACCAATCGCCTTCAAGCAGGCTGGTCAATGCTTTTCTCGAGTACATTAAACGTCAAAATGTGGCACTAGAGTTACTTTCAGCACTTCTTGCAGCGGCAGCGGCGGATGACAGGAAGCTCGTAGATATATGTCGAGCTGTCAGGGCAGAACAGTCGAACTTTCCGTGTCTTGATCTTTTTCGGTTTACAGCAAGAGTTGTCTCCACATCGGCCCTCACAGCGACGGTACTTTATCTTGGCGCGGGACTTGCACTTGGTCTTGGGGTCGATGTAGATGTCGCGGAAAACGATCTCAGTGCAGGAAGGAGCTGTAAACAGTAACAATTCTGTGATGAAGGAAACTGTTCTGTTATTAATGATTGATACTTATCAGTGATTGGCTGGTATTCAGGACCAGTACAATGATTGATTGTAAACTTGTAGAGGTTAAGTCAGTATTAAATGTTATTTCAAAGGTTTAATCATTGGTAAAATTAAAACATTGTTGTACACGCACAACCAAAAAGGAATTAATTTCTCTTACGGAATATTTTTTGGTAAAATCATGACATAAGCAGGACCAATGATGCCTTGTTAGGGAATGATCATTTATAGGGGTGGGGGGGTGGGGGTTCATGCAACAATGTACTGAAAATAATGACACTCCTCTTATGCTTGTCATTATTTTGGATGATCCTCCCCATGTTCTTTAAAATTTATTTCACAAGACCTTCCCCGACTGTGTGTATTATTTTTAACGACCCTCCCCTAGACACTGTCTGACCCACCCACCCCTATAATATATGACCGATCCCTTCATCCAGAGAATACCATTACCAGAGAAACCATTCAGGTTAGCAAATTTCCAGACAAACAAATTATGTAATGTTGTTCTGAATGTTTCCAAATAGATTGCCTGTTAGGCGAAGTTGCCGGACTAACATAATCTGGATTTACTGTTTTCATGTGTGATATCATGAACATACATTCTTACAGTTGAGTATTACCCTCTTGAAGCTATGCATTACTCAACTGACGTCACAAATAGAGCGACAAGGCTCTGTAGCTCACCTGAGTTATATGATCTGTTCTAAAATATTCCATACCTCGGGTCATTCATACAAAATATCAGTAGCCTTGTAGTTGTGAGGTGATGTCAGAGGTCATAGCTTGATACAAAATAGTGCTATTGCCATGACATTACAAAACTTGACTTGACTTTCAGTGATATATTATGTTATTCAGCATACCATTTAAGGATGTACATGGTTACACAAAGAAATGGCTTAGAAATGGGCAAAAATGACATTTTCAATATGGCTGCCACTGCAGCCATCTTTAAAATTGAATCAGAATTATGTGAGGACTTAACAGATACACCAAAGCTGGGTTCAATATGCAAAACTTCAGCTCCATACACCTAGTAGTTCCAAGGAGAAGTCTAAAGTGTAAAAGTGCAAAAGGATGGACGGATAACTGTACGGACAGACGATGGACAACGCCATGACAAGCTCACTTTGTCAGGTGAGCTACAAAAGCATGACAATACTCAAATCTAAGTCTTTACCATTCTACAACCAAAAGCTTACATGCTCCAAAATGAATTACATACTGTGACATACCTATACTACAGTGTTAAGCAGCACTCACTCACTCACTCAATCACTCACAAGAAGCAAAGGGCACTAGGGATTCCCAGTTCCATGAAACAGTTGGTTGAGGTAGATGCATTATGAATCATGTTTTAGTTAATGTTTAACACCACACTCGGCAATATTCCAGCTATATGACGGAAGAAAATCCAGTGATTGACATCGCGAGCATCAATCTACACAACTGGGATATGATGACATGCATCAACCAAGCCAGCGAGTCTGACCACCTGATCCCGTTAGTCGCCTCTTACGACAAGCATAGTCGCCTGTTGTGGCAAGAATGGTTGCTGAAGACCTAGTCTCTCCCCGGATCTTCACGGTCCGTTATGTATCATGAGTGAACAGATAACACACAACACAACAGAAGTCATCCAGAAAGGTGAAGGTCACAACATCAATGAACAAATCAGGCCGTGATAGATTTCTGCGTTCTCTTGGGCAGCAAGGGAAGATGAACTAAACCCTGCTTCTCTTCCGTCGTTATAAAGCTGGAGTAGGATGATTGCATGTTGTAGAGTAACACTTTTTCAACATTCTGCTCTTTTGAAGTCTTTGATAACATTAACTATAAATGGATAACAACTTCTCAAAAGTGAGTGAGTATGGTTTTACACCGATTTTAGCAATATTCCAGCAATATCACGGCAAGACACCAGAAATGGGCTTAACACATTGTACCCATTTGTGGAATCGAACCCAGGTCTTCGCCGTGACGAGCAAACACTTTGACCTCTAGGATACCCCACCGCCCCTCTCAAAAGCAGCCTTCAAATGTTGTTATAGTCAAAAAAGAAGTTGTAATCCATAGAAAAATTCATGTCTTCCGATCTTTCAATGGAAGGTGAGAATGAGTCACAGACAAACATGCAAGCATGTGCAAGTTTAATGACCAAGTGCAATAAAATAATGAGATCTTAATTCAGCAAATGTCTTTTTTAAGTTCATGCCATCAATCCAGTGTGAAGTGTGAAACCATACCGAGGTCGGAAGGTGTTTGATAATGACTTAACCTACATGCACATGCTCGTGTGGACATTATAAAAGATGCTGTCTCTGTGAACAACCGCTGTTACCTTTATCACAGAAAGTGCCCGAGTAGCCCCGCCTGCATTTACACCTGTAGCCTGATTTGTTCTTCCTGGGCTTGCACCTACCACGCTGACACATGTGGTTCTGGCAGGGGTCAAACTGGCACCCCGGGGTCACGCGGTGACGGTGGCGCGACGACAGTAGGTCCTGCTGCTTGCGGTTGATGAAGACTTGGCTCAGGCAGCCTGCAGGAGAGAAGAGTCGTTATCAACTTTATTTAAGCAAGAACCTCTTCCCAATATGGGTGCAAGTTGCACAAATAATAAATAATATGTGCATTAATAATGCGCCAAAGTCCATTCACCAAGTGGATGCTCAGCTAAACTATTGTTACCCCGGTCAATGGATCGACATGGTCTCAATTTTCAGTCTCTGCTTCCTGAGGAGTATACAACCCAAGCTGACTGTAAGGTGCTTGAAGGTGAACAGCCACATTACCATCTCATCCTACTGAGTACCCACTCACTGCAGGGTAAATAGAGGCACATTTCAAAGAAAAGTCTAAGGAGACACCACATGTGCTACATGTGCTTCAGTGTGGAAAATCTCAGGAACCAAGCTGCTGAACGCGGTCACCCACCCAACTAGTCTCCGAGACTGACGTTACTTAACCTCACCTGATTTGTGACCTGGGGGCTGTGCATCACTGGATAAAGATTCTCCACCAGTCACGGCCCACTCATCTTGGATGGATCCAAGATCCACCACAATAATCATTTATAAAAACTTTGTGTTTTGAACTGATATTTTGAACTTGTCAAGATATAAGTATTCTCAAAACTAAGAAGGTATCAATTTGTAACCTCAAGCTAAAGCGATTGGTTCCAAATAAAAAATAAGAAGGTATCGTTCAACAGTGAGACCAGATCCACCATAATAATCATTTCTAAATACTAGGTGTTGTGAACCGTTATTTTGAACTTGGCAAGAATATAAGTACCATATTCGACGTAATAAGCGCCCTGCTCTAATAAGCGCCAACGGCGACATTTGCTAAGATATGTACACAGGACATTTATTTGCGTATAATACGCACTCGTGTGTTATATGCACCCTTAATTATGGGCAATCAAATTCCGGAAAAATATATCTGTCGTACATAAACATTTCAGGCTGTCACCATAAACCACGAAATTTATCTTTCAACTCTGTTAATAATAATATTCTAATAAGAGCCCCCTATTTCTAATTTTGAGAGCGCCCTGGGCCCTTATAACGTGGAATACAGTATTCTCAAAAGCAAGAAGGTATCAATTTGTAACCTCGGGCTAAAGCAATTGGTTCCAAATTAAAAATAAGACAAGTTTAAGTTTCCAAACACAGAGGGTTTATCTCCTAAATGGAATGAACCAAAAACTGTGATCGATCGAAACTAATTTGTTACCTTTGAAACTAGTCCCATCTCTCACATGCCACTTCTTAAAGGCGCGAGTGTTGACATCAGCTGGCAACCCTCCTAAAAACAGATCATCCTTGACATTGAGGAAGTCTTTTGGCCCCTCGTTGATGACCGTTCGGGGCACTCCTGAATGATCAATCTGCATGGTGAAGTTCTTCTGCTTAATGTTCATCTCAAGGATATGCTGCTTGCCGTCAGCCACGCGCTCGTAACTAAACATTGTTGACACGGGATAGTTACCCACATCGTAACTGACACGTATGTGTCCACGGAACACCTCCACGCCAACGTGTTGCTCCCCTCCAGCGTACATGATGATGCCCTGATTGGAGTCGGTGATGAAGACAATGGTGATGTTGACTCCCTTCTGGAAATCTACTGGTGGGAGTTGAATATAGGAGTCCTTTTCGTTCAAAGACACACTGGATAATTTCTCACATTTCTTGCCATCAAAACCTGAAACACAACACACTGCACTGATATCTGCCAAATTTTCTAAATCTTTGTCCCATAATACAGCGCCATAAATGAAGGATTTTTTATTTCTGTTTTGAATAAAAAAAATAAAGATCTTCCTGATAATTGCACCAGATACAAAGCAGAGCAGTTCAGAGATTGAAATTGAGAGAAGAGACAGTAAAATGCTTCTTCAGCGTGGACAGTTTTGCAGTTCATTCTATGCTTGAACATGCCATAAAACATTGAGGGACCGTATTCCTAGAGGAGTTGTCTCCCCTCCATCTATGAACTTTTCAAATATTGGGTTCAGTACAACATGGGTTAGTAATGTGCATCTTTGTGCTGTTCATCTATGAATGATGAAAGATATTACAATGTGATTATTTGTCTAATAAACCATTTTTTCTTTTCTCTTTTTAATCTAAATGCAGTATCACATTTTTGGCTGATGTTTCATCATCATCTGTGAATGCAAATTCTCAAGTACACAAAGACTTAAATGGTATTATACACTGTGGATTGGGAAAGCTGGGGAGACTTGATGTAGGATCTAACTCAAGCACGACTATAAAGTAAATATACAAAACAATATTGAGATATGTAAAGGGGTTTGCTATTAACACATATTATACAAGGAAGGGTAAATATCTCTGGGAAGACAACGGGCTTGCCAAGGAACTATGTATTACATATAAGTCTGTTGCTAGGTAACACAGATAATTATGATAAAAGGGGAATTATTATTTAAGATGTCTATCTACAGAAGAAAATTGAAATTTTAGGGAAAAAGTAAAGAAAATTAATCTTTAGCATTATGAAGCGCTAGGCTAAAACAAAGTAAATATATTATTAAAGATGGGCACAACAAGCAGGTATGTAACAGAGGTTTGACTTGAAACTGTCCCGATGTTCATCAATTGAAGCTCCTGGGATTTTATGTCAGCTTCAGAAATATGGATTTTCAGAAGATGTTTTCTTTCGTAAAATTGTACTTCGTTGAAGTAATTAACATAAAAAAACTCAATATTCAATAATTTTGAAAAAAGCTTTTGACCAAAATTAATGGAGTCACGGCAGTGAAAATTTATTCCTTGATGTGATTAGGTATGTCAGTAAAGCACTAAAGCTTATGAATTCTGAGAGCTGCTCACGTGGAAAAGTATTAATAATTCTCACATATATGTCTCACTTCAAACCTGCTTGTTAGGATCACCCATCAGAACATGTACCATGTCTCAAAGAATATTTCTCTCTCTCTTTAATATTACACAAAAATGATGGTTTCCATGACAAGCAACAATTAAATGGAATTGCCATTCTTAATGGAAATAGTGTCTGATTTCAAAAGAGTCAGAGTTATCTCCCTTGAAATTTATCCCGTGATAATTACAGGGCTTATTTTTTAAAAATCAATACAAATATAACATTCGAATCAGCTAACTGATAATTTTCTTATTGATTTTATGTTGCTTTTTTTTTTAAATTTTTTATTTTTTTTTATTTCCTTATCATATCGAGACATGATACACACAGACATTAAACAAGCAACAAAAGCATTGCTAGTATACCTGGTGCGCATTTACACATATAATCAGCTTGTTGCATGCCAGGGGGCTGATAGCAGATGCCGTTGTTTTGACAAGCATGGAACCGGCAGGCGCCGGACGCTTGTTGTCGTAGTAACGGTAATGCGAGGACAGGTGCAATCTCGCAATGTTTGCCGGAGTAGCCACGATCACACATGCAAGAGTAAGTGTTTAAGCCGTCCAAACACGTGGCACTGTTCTGGCAGGCGTGGGACTTACAATCGTCGACATTCTCGGAGCAGTTCTTGCCTTGGTATCCTGGGGTACATTCACACCTAGTGCGAAAATAAAGTGTTATCTCTGGCCAAGTGGTACAAAACACATGAATTTTATGAAACAATTTAATCAAAGGTATTTTTTAAAACAGATCTGGGTCTACCTGAAAGGCAGAGCCACTTGCTCGTCACGCCGAAGACCCGGCGGGTTCGATTCCCAACATGGGTACAATGTGTACAATGTGTGAAGCCCATTTCTGGTGTCCTCCGCCGTGAATTGCTGGAATAATGCTAAAATCGGCGTTAAACCATACTCACTCACTCACTCACTCACCTGTTCATGTCATTGTGTGACACATCTACGTACCTGTAATCTGAGCCGGTGCTGACACAAGTGGCACTGTTCATGCAGTAGTTAAACCCGGCCTTGCAGAACGGGATCCTGGTCTCACACCGCTTGCCTGGAACACAGGACACATGAATACATGCAACACGGGATGAGTGAAGCTTTCTTATGCCACAGGGGACACAGGTGGCCCAGTCGTCTGAGGCGCTGCGATTCGCTGTGCAGAGTTGCATCCCTTTGGCACGCCAGAAACCTGTGATTGTTGGTTCGAATCCCGGTTCGCACCGATTTTCTAGGTTTGTCAGCACCATACCCGTGCTCGTGGGTTTCACCGAAGTGGTAAACGTCTGAGACCTGCATCACTTGGGGCTTTTCTCCCACATTAAGCTGACACGCCGCAATATAACTGGAAAACTGTTAAAAGCGGTGTTAAACCAACTCACTCACTCACTCTTATGCCACAGATAGAAATGTTCCAGCTATTACTGTGACCTGGAAACAGTTGTATGTGGGCCAACAAACAATCAGTGAAGACACAACGAGCCTGAATGTAGGCAATCCTCATTCATACAGATCTTTGGCAAGCAAGGTTGGTTGGTTGGTTTGTTGTTTTACGCTGCACTCAGCAATATTCCAGCTGTATGACGGCGGTCTGTAAATAATTGAGACTGGACCAGACAATTCAGTGATTGATATGAGCATCGATCCACACAATTTGGATCGATGACATGCTTTAACCATGTCAGTGAGCCTGACCACCCGATCCCGTTAGTCACCTCCTACGACAAGCCTAGTCGCCTTTTACAGCAAGCATGGGTTGCAGAAGACCTATTCTACCCCGGATCTTCACGGGTCTGGCAAGCAAGGGGTACTGGAGACCAGAGCCCTGTTGTAAGCCAGTGTTACAGAATAGGAGTTATGATCATCGTAGCTCTTTCATCGCTTTTTGGAACGGGGTCCTGGTCTGACAGGTCGTCATCATTGAATCTGTGAAATCTACCAGTTCTAATAAAGATTACATAGCAGGAGGAAGTTGTTTGTTTTGTTGGTTTGTTGTTTAACACCACACTCAGCAATAATCCAGCTATATGATGGTGGTCTGTTAATAATCAAACCTGGACCAGACAATCGAGAGATCTGAGCAATTGGGATACGATGACATGCATCAACCATGTCAGCGAACCTGACCACCCGGTCCCGTTAGTCGCCTCTTACAACAAGCATGGGTTGCTCTAGAACAATTCCAACCCGGATCTTCACAGGTAATAGATGGAGGAAGTATCTCAAAGTCTAGGAGGAATTGTTTCCTCTGTGTTATGTGATGAAGTTCTTGTACGTCTATCATAATATTAACTTATTAATTAATCCTCCCCTATAGGTATTATGTCACTTGGCTTGTCAGCACAATTTGTGTTCGCACAAAGTGGTCATCATCCTTGACCTGTGTCACTTGTTTTGTTTGTTTGTTGTTTATGTACATATTTGTTTGTTTATTGCTGCACTCAGCAAAATTCCAGCTACATGATGATGGTCTGTAAATAATCGAGTCTGGACCAGACAATCCAGTGATTGACATCATGAGCATTGATCTACCCAATCGAGATACGACAGACCATCCGATGACGTTAGTCAACTTTCCTTCAACACTAAGCCAGTGATTGACATCATGAGCATCGATCTACCCAATCGAGATACGACAGACCATCCGATGACGTTAGTCAACTTTCCTTCAACACTAAGCCATGAACTATGCCCTCCCTACACAACACCCCACCATGTGATCAAGGGTGGAGTTTTACCCATATATCCTGGTGCACAGTGGCAGGAGTACGACTGAATCTCATCCACGCAGGTGGCGTTGTTGGTGCAGGAGTGGGTGACGCAGTCATCGATGTTGGTCTCGCACCTCTCCCCCTCAAACCCATCCAGACAGTGACACCTACAAAATGAGTTGTTGAATAAAAACGCGGGGAATAGGGGAAAAACAAGTTTAGAGTTACTTCCCTTCTGTTATAGACACAGATCTGTCGCAATTCATCATAATTTGTTGTAGTTTTTAAGATATATTTTCAACAGGTTTTAATTATAGTAATTTACCTGTAAATACTTTATTTATATTGATAGCAAAAGTAAATGAGGTATTTTAACATTTTACTTATTTTTGGCAGAATAAAAGCTCACTGCTTTTAATTTATTTAATATTTATGAATAAAATCAATTTCTTATTTTCAAACACATTCATAAACCAAGTTTAAAAAAAGGCTGGCCTTAACCGCACATGTGTGACAAAGATGTTGACATGATGTTGTAAGGCTGTAGTGACAAAACACAATGGAAGCTATCAAAAGTTCCTACAAATCATCTAGTACGGCCCATGCAAAGAACAAACTACTTACTGAAATCTTCCAAACTCCATGACTGTGCACTTGCCGCCATTATTACAGGGGTTACCAAAACAGGCGTCAATCTGTTTCTCACACTGGTAACCATGGTAACCTGCTGAACATTCGCATGTGAAGTTCTTGAAATCTTTAAGATGACACTTCCCGCCATGGAGACATGGCTTCTTCAGACACACGTTACACTTCTCCGCCACCTGAGGGTCGGGGTCGCCTGAAAGCAGCACAGGATGTACCATGTGATAATAAGTCATAATGCATCACCCTTGAGGCCTTCGGGATAGAACTGGTGCAAAGAGTGAGTGAGTATGGTTTTATGCCGCTTTTAGCAATATTACAGCAATATCACAGCCAGGGACACCATGTGGGGAATGAAACCCAGGCATTCAGTGTGATGAGCGATTGATATAACAACTAGGCTACCCCACTGCCAGAAACCTATGATCGTGGGTTTGAATCCTGGTGCACCCAGAAAATGTTTCTAGGCTTGTCAGCACCATACCTGTGCTCGTGGGTTTCACCAAAGTGGTAAACATTGGAGACCTGCATCACATCGGGCTTTCTTCCCACATCAAGCTCACACGCTGTGATATAACTGGAATACTGTTCAAAGCGGTGCTGAACCCAACTCACACACTCACTGAAAATGAAATGACTATACCGACAAACCCCTGATCAATATGTCCCGCTTCTGTGGCAGGGTGTGGAGTCTTCTTACAGAAGACATCCTTACCTAATCCTCAAGCTGGCAGGGCTAACCTCTTTGGTCATGTGGACCAGGCATCTGACCTTGGAGCAGACGGCCTGTGATTCTACTCCCTACATTGGACACGGAATTTGTATCGTTGCTACCTTCGTATTACGTGCTGGGGCAAAATAGTTGAATATGTCTGAATATTTTAGCATGACCTTACCGAGACATTCAAAGAAATGTGAGGGTGTTGTGAGGAGGAGTTTGTCCTTCATCTTCTCGGGGCCAACACACTGCGCAATCCCTGGTTCGATGTAGTCCCGCTTGATCCAGTCAGACAGCCATTTGAGGTTGCAGTCACAGTACATGGGGTTTCCGCCCAGGGCGCTGCAGGGACAGACAGACAATACGGTAACTAGCGTCATGGTTCATACAGAATTCAAGTCACCAAAGTTTCAAGACAATGACCTATGGCAATCCAGGATAGAATTGGTCCCCAGCAACCTATGCTGGTCTTAACAGGCTACTTAATGGATTGTTTAGATTTTATTATTTAGAGGCCACCGCCAAACAGCTGGGGTATTGCTGAATGTGGCGTTAAACAACATGCACGCACGCAAACAAACAAACAAACAAACACACACTTGAAGACAATAATCACATTTTTCTCAGCTAAAAAGTACGACCCAATATATTATGTTATTTTTACTTAACTTCATTGTCAGAATGGTACCATCTGTACACGCAAATGCACAAGAAAATGTTCAGTCAAGGGGAGACAAGTCTTGATGACTAGTACTTACATGTGTGTGAGGGCAACAAGATCCTTGAAGGCGTTGTAGGGGATTACGGACAGATTGTTGCCATGGAGGGACCTGCAACACCATGAGAAATTATCTTTCATATTTACAAAATATGACATTAAAAAAGACTTTCCGTCAGTAAAACTTTGGTAAAGATTTTGAGATTGTTTGTGTTGACTATTTCAAAATAGGAAGGAGACAGGGAATCTCTTCACCTGAAACTGAAGACACTATAACCTGAAAACTATTAGAAGTGATTTGTTCACATCTACCAAATCTCAATTTAACAAGGAACATTTTGAAATCAGTGAGTTTATGAGGAACACAATCTTCCAGTACTTACAATATCCGGAGTTCCTTGAGGCCGGAGAAGCTGGTGTCCCCCATACACTGAATGTTGTTGTAACTCAGGATTCTGAAAAACGATAACACAGTTTATTAGTTTCCATTGTGCCCTCCTATCATAATGAGACTATTCACAGATGAAATTCATTTCATCCCTAGTTAAAGGACAAACAATCTATATGTTTCAGTGACAATGTAATATGAATCTGTAAATTATATTTTATTTCAATTTATTTATATATTTTAAACATATTTTTCCACAAGTTATGACGAACAAAAAAGTTAAATAAAAAGAAGAAGTAAAAATGATAAAATAAAGTAAAGTAAAGTAAAGTAAAGTAAAGTAAAGTAAAGTAAAGTAAAGTAAAGTAAAGTAAAGTAAAGTAAAGTAAAGTAAAGTAAAATAATATAAAATAAAACAAAACCAAAGGAAGAACAGGATCAGGTGGTCAGACTCGCTAACTTGGTTGATGCAAGTCATATCATATCCTTATGCGTGAATCTATGCTCAAGATATCAATCACCTGATTGTCTAAACAACAAACAAACAAATCTTCTCAAAACAGTAAAAGCTGGTTATTGGTATAAATTTCTTTTTGGCTTCACATCACTTTTGTAAGGATTATCTTCTAGTTGTTTCAGAATACTATTTAGTCACACAGCTGCTCTACAGAGGATAGACAGAGGATGGCGCCATGATGCTACCGGAACTCACAGTGTTGATAGTTTGGTCAGGTTAGCAAAGATCAGTTCCGGCAGGGTCTCAATATTGTTGTGACTTAAATCCCTGAAATCACAAGATATGAAAACGATTAGAATGTGTATCAGGTGAGTCGTTATATTAAGTTTATTATTTCTAAAAGAAAGTTTTTAGGATGACATGCACATGTAATCGACAGTAATCTTGATGCTGTTGTTGTTACACAATATTTCACTCATGTCAACCTGTCAACACTTAGTATGCTTACAGTTTTTGGAGCTTGGTCAGCAGGCCTATTTCCATGGGGATATTAGTGATCTCATTGACATCCAGGTATCTGAAATACAAAAGAATATTGAATCAACTAGCATTCTACCTACCACCTTGTGTGATGTCACGCTGGTCCAGAGTTCATAGGGGTAGTGGGGTAGCCTAGTGGTTAAAGCGTTGGCTCATCACACTACAGGCCTGGGTTTGATTCCCTACATGGGAACAATGTGTGAAGCGCCGTGACATTACTGTAATATTGATAAAAGCGGCGTAAATCTGTACTTACTCCCTCATCCAAAGGGGTCATCAAATAGTATCCCACATTTCAGCTTCTCATCCACTGGCTTCTAAGGTGCATAATTTGCTGTGCAGAGTTGCATCTTTTAAGGCATGTCAGAAACCTTTGAATCCTGGTTTGCCCTGATTATGTTTCTAGGTTTGTCAGCACCATACACATGGGTTTCACCAAAGTGGTAAATCAAGAGTTACTTTTTGGTGTGTGGACTTTTTTCACACTTTTTTTAATTTTGTTCAGGAGCGGCCGGGTAGCCTAGTGGTTAAAGAGGTCGCTCGTCAAGCCGAAGACCTGGGTTCGATTCCCCACATGGGTACAATGTGTGAAGCCCATTTCTGGTGTTCCCCGCCGTGAGAAACCTCACTCACTCACTCTCTCATTTCTGTTCAAGTAGGCATACATGTCAGTCATTTTCAGGGTGCTTCATCGACTATTTTCAGGGTGCTTATCCAAAGTTGATAAAATCATGCAGCTGTCTTGAACCCATTTGTCGTCAGCAAAAGCATTACACATTGTATTTAGCAGTGGCAGTGAGTAGGACCATCCAATTCCATCTTGGTCCAATCTGAACTCATACTCGTGCTCGTGGGGTTCCCCAAAGTGAAATGTCTGAAGCCTGCATCACTATGGGCTATCCCGGCCCTCCCGATTATGTTTCTAGGTTTGTCAGCACCATACCCGTGCTCGTAGGTTTCACTGAAATGGTAAACGTCTGAGACCTGCGTCACTTCGGGCTTTCCTCCCACATCAAGCTGACATGCCGTGATATAACTGGAAGACTGTTCAAAGTGGCGTTAAAATCCAACTCACTCCAACTAGTACTATACTTACAGCTCCGTGGTGTCGAGGGGGATGTACTTGGGGATGTCGGTCATGTCCAAGTGGCTGCAGCGCACCTTCGTGCCATCACAGGAGCATTTGGGGGGACAGTAGGCGCGGGGGTCACAACTGTTCTCTTCAACTAGTGGAAAAACAATTAAATTTTTATTAAAACCTATAATTTTCTTTTCAAGAAGGAATGATACATGTTATTTATTGGAAATTAAACGAAGAGAACAAGTTGCATTAATTGGTGAAACTAACAAGTTGTAGGGAAACATTCTCCACTCACCGATACTGCTGTCCTGACAACATGGTGTTACTCCAGTGTTGCAGCCAATGTCGTTCACCTCTGCAACAACAGATGTCAAAAATCAAGTTCCAAATCAAATTTAGTTTTCACATTTGAGATTCAAATTACCACAAATCTTCTTTTCTCCAAATATTGCCAGGAATGACCTTATAGCCTTGTAGATTAGTAGCCCAGCTTTGACCTACCTTCACAGACAAAGTCCTTCTGCTTCAGGTCCTGTATGGGGGTGTTTTTGAGGGGATGGGGGGCAGTGCAGGTGGGCGTGCCGGTGATCACGTTGCGTCTCTTCAGCCAATCAGACAGCCAGCCAAGGTGACAGTTGCAATGGAATGGGTTTGCCATCAAGTTTCTGAAATCAGTACGCCATAAAATATCTCTCTTTTCACCACTTTCTCAGTGTAATGTTGGACACTGAGGCTGATTTGTAAATAGTCAGTTGACCACCAGCAGAAAAGAGGCTTAGTTTAGATTTTCGTTCCCCCATTTTCCTGTATACCTTAAACCTTTTCTATTGCATAAAGGAGGTATCTGTACACAATTTCATTGGGTAGTAAGCTTGCAAGTGTGTGTGTAAACTTTCAGGGGGTCAAAATTGCATAAATTGAAGGAAAATGCATAATTTGATAAAATCGGCTGTAACATTTTTATTAAGTCATTAAACTATCCATATTATGTCTTCGAGATATCATGAGAATGTTTATTCCAGAAGTGGAATTGGGGGAAATTAAATCGACATCCAATGATAAACATTTGTCATTCATACTCCTATATCCAGCATTGAATTCATTTGGAGCATCATCTTCCATAAAGTTGTTGTTTATTGATAACTAGGCATGTTTCATTGCTTAACTACTGGAACATGGCATGTTTTGTAGTCACACTATTGCTGCTGCTTTCTGAACATACTGATAATTTGTGATGCTACAACAAGTGACCCAAATTATTGTGAAGATAACCAACCAGCCAGACGGACATAGAATAAGGGAGACAACTGTGGATGGTTATTTGGTCATCAATACTGTGGTAGAATACATTATGCAGTACCAGCTTTAACTTAAGTATCAGTCAACAGTATTCACATTCGCACCAAAGGATCATGAACATCGATCAACGCAATTGGGATACGATGACATTCATCAACCAAGTCAGCGAGCCTGACCACCTGATCCCGTTAGCCACCTCTTATAACAAGCATAGTCACCTCTTATGGCAAGCATGGGTTGCTGAAGACCTATTCTACCCCAGATCTTCACGGGTATGATGACAATAGTCATGTTGTGTTATGTACTGTAGGCAATTACATAATATTTACAAAATTATCAATTATCTTCCATATCAAAGGGATGGATAAGAGTTATTTGGGGGATTTTAGGGCTTTTCACCACTTTCTCAGTGTAATGTTGGACACTGAGGCTGATTTGTAAATAGTCAGTTGACCACCAGCAGAAAAGAGGCTTAGTTTAGATTTTCGTTCCCCCATTTTCCTGTATACCTTAAACCTTTTCTATTGCATAAAGGAGGTATCTGTACACAATTTCATTGGGTAGTAAGCTTGCAAGTGTGTGCGTGAACTTTCAGGGGGTCAAAATTGCATAAATTGAAGGAAAATGCATAATTTGATAAAATCGGCTGTAACATTTTTATTAAGTCATTAAACTATCCAAATTATGTCTTCGAGATATCATGAGAATGTTGATTCAAGAAGTAGAATTGGGGGAAATTAAATCAACAGAATTAAGCGATTTCTCTGACTTAAAACTGTGTTATAGTTAACACAATGTCTCTATGATATTGGGGTTTCACCGAAGTGGTAAACGTCTGAGACCTGCATCACTTCGGGCTTTCCTCCCACATTAAGCTGACACGCCGTGATATAACTGGAAAACTGTTAAAAGCGGTGTTAAACCAAACTCACTCACTCACTCACTCTATGATATTGCTTAATAACCTATGGCTGTGTCAGTTATAGTTGGCCAGAATCAATGGCAAGTGAATTCCTGGCTCAGAATCAACTGCTAGAACAAAAGTGTGACATCATCCTGACGGTTTAACTAAGGGGCAGGACTGGGACAGAGTTCATGTCTCCAAATTTCCCAGGTTAAGCTAAAAGGTCTCAATATCATTAATACTTTTGTGTTGAAGAAAACAGAAGGTGTAAATAAAAGTACACCTTGTTCCCAGTAATGAAATATGTTCTTACAAAGCCATAACTCTGTTTTCAGTAATAGAATATTTTCTCACAAGCAATGGCTATTTTTCAAAACGTCCCCTTTGTTGGTAGAGTATGGCGATCTTTCAACCTTCTGATAATTAAACTTACTGGAACAAACATAATCACGGTGGAGAATAAACAGATTCCAGTTGATGCAGACAACTCTGTGTATACTTCCAACAACAGCTGCTATTGTAAGAACTGCACAATTTGGTAAATCATTCACGGGTGTGTGAAAACTGCATCGGCGCCAACACTAACAGTCCTGAGTACTGGCTCTGTGATAACACTAGGGCTGGTGGCAGATGCCTTTATTTCATCACTGATGAGGGAGACAGAGATCGCGAAGCTGGTATGTGTACCACGATGATAACTCCAGGTAAAACACTTCGTTAGCTTGCGAAACATGCCAGAGATGGGGTTTTTATGGTTGTGTTCGGTAAACTGTATCACAGGTATAAACTTTGTTAGTTTGGAAAGGGAGTCGAGAATTTTTGTGAGATTTCCGTGTGTATTTTGAAATAGGGTAATACAGATACAGATCTCTTTGTTAAATTTGAGAGACTTAACACAAAGTTTTTAGACCTTGAGGGTATTCTCCGGTGAAATAGTTTGTTGATATTGTGAAATACATCATACAGTGGTATAACAGGCCAAATATTAGACACATGCCCACTTGCAGTTGTAGAGTAAACTACATGTATGTTTATAACGAACTGACTGATATAACGCAAATTATTTTGTTTGTCCTATCCATTTGCTGTGCATATGATGTATACGTATATGCTTATAACGAACTATGGTTATAATGAACCATAATTTGTGGTCCCTTTGAGTTCGTTATGACCACATGTTTACTGTATGTGAGTAAGCCTCACAAATATGTCATTATGTTCAGTGAGAACATAAATTTCTAACTTTTAGAGTCCACCTCTGTTATTTTTTTTTGGTGAGTTCATAAATTTCTAAATTTTAAAGTCCATCTAGACATATGTCATTATTTTTTTGCATATTTTTGCATTTTGTGAAATATAATAATATTAGCAGTTTTTACATTTCAGACTCCAGCTATATATTATTTTTTAAAGAGTGAATACATAACTCACTTTTTATAAACTACTAGCAAACAAAGAATACACCATTGTTTGATGGCGGCTAAAATGAAACAATCAAAAAATGGTCTTTCGATGGTGATGTAATTGATATAGGTAACATAGTTATGTTTAGGACTGAAAGTCTGCAATGTTTCAGCAATTGTTTTCAGCCTTGTCACATTTTGATAACGTTAATTAATTATTTGGTCAAATCCAGTTTCCAAGTCTATGCTTTCCTTTGCTAGCAGTTTGGTTCACCTATCTGTTATTGTTTAGCAGTGAGCGTTGTATACAGGTGCTCCTCAAAAAGAGGCAATCGTGATAAAATCATGGCCTTATGCTTTGGACCTATGAGTTGCAAGCAGTCACAGATTTGACGTTCATACTTCCCCAGCCTATACCAGTAATACCTACAATGGCAAGGATGCTCTTATACGAGTGCTTCACTGAGTTGGATCTACTTACAGTGTAGACAGGTAGTGCAGTCTGTCGAAGGCTCCCTGGGTTATACAACGGATCTGGTTGTCATACAGCGAGCTGAAGAGATGTATCACACAAAGTGAATATCAAACAGAATGCAATAAATAAAAAAGGAATAAATATGGAAATCACTAAAAGGACACAATAAACTTATTAGATTTTCCTTAAAAGTTTTTAGACATTTTTCTTGGATATGTGCACATGAACTGTTGACGGATGTGTTTCACATCTTGGCAAGTCTATTCCCAACACTGACATGTTTTGGAATAGCAAGCACTGATGTGCAAATGGTTAATTTCACCAATAGATCAATGTACTAGCTTCTGGTTGACTGTAGACACTCACAGCAGATCACTACTCAGTAATCTCATGAGTAAAGAAACACGTCAACACAGAGATTTTCTTCATCTGTACGCACCTGGGTACAATAAACTGATGTGACGCAGGGTGTTTTGTAGTGAGGTAGGGAGGATGAAAGTCTGACAATTGATTTATTATGTCCTTAGGTAGCAAATTCCACATATACCCTGAAGAAAACCAGAGATTATTTGGCTAAAGAGTGAAACATCAAATACAATCCTTTTACTCAGGGACATATTCTGCTGACATGACACATTTTTACTCAGCATGAGTCTCATTATTACTAGTACAAATTACCAGAAATGTCTTCAAGAATTTTTGTCTCAAATTATGTGAAACTTAAACAAAAAATTTGAAAAGCAAGTTCTTACAAATTATTTCATAACAGATGAGAAAGTTGTTTCAATTTAAAGTTTAATTGAGTTCTGAAAATTATTTGGATAAGATCGTACATCATTAAGTTAAACTCTTTACTCACAGCACTCTCAAGCGGGGCGTCTCTGTGAACGTTACATTGTTGATACACGTGATTCTGTTACCTCGCAGCATCCTATATGAACAGACATCATACAACATCGTCATGCACAGCAAACAAACCATCATCAAACTGAAAGCACAAATCCCCTCTCCTTCAAACTCAGACCTGCTACACCAACCCTAATCATGTTAATGATACAGAAAATACTGTTGGAGATTCACACTGCAGTCACATACAAATCACATTCTCTATTTCTGATATGTGACTAATTCAATAATTTCTGCTGAGCGTGCACTTGTCGCTACACATGATGATTAAGCCCTGTTATCTTAGTATCTGGTTATTCCCCAGTCAACATACAACCAGCCTGTTGTATAACATGTGTTGATTATAAAGGAAATTACTGACGGCAGAGTGTGATATGGACGACTTGAAATAAGTTCACAAGCTGATGAATAGTTTGTCAATGGTTCAGGATAAAGTGCAACTGTTCGTGACCCCCATAGCTTATCGCTACGAAGCATATCCCAACAGAAGTTAATAATTTTGTATGAAGTGAATGTAACACTGGATGGGGATGGGGAGGGGGAACTGACACGTAAAGTGTCTGAGAAAATAGGGGTGCACCCCATTAGATGTGTGAGTTTTGACGGATGTTTTTGTACAGATAACAGTGGGGGGGGGGAAGCCACAGGGGGACAGGGGGAAGCCACAGGGGGAACCAATTATCAATCACACCAACTGAAGTGGTTAAGTCATGATGACAACAAATATGGTTTATTGAAACCATTAAATGACCATTTAAGTCCACTCTTATGAGTGAGTGAGTATGGTTTTACGCCGCTTTTAGCAATATTCCAGCAATATCACGGCGGGGGACACCAGAAATGGGCTTCACACATTGTACCCATGTCGGGATTCGAACCCGGGTCTTCGGCGTGACGAGCGAACGCTTTAACCACTAGGCTACCCGACCGCCCCCACTCACTCTTATGACATTGGGAAAAGGGTCTGTGCTAAAGAGGAATCCCACTTGGAGACAAAAACGGGATATGGGAGTTATTCTATCCAGGAATCCCACTGGGAGACAAACATGGGGTATGGGAGCCTATTCTATCTAGGAATCCCCACAAAGACAAACAGGGGGTATAGGAGCCTATTCTATCCAGGAATCCCACTGGGAGACAAACACAGGATATGGGAGCCTATTCTATCCAGGAATCCCACTGGGAGACAAACAGGGGGTATGGGAGCCTATTCTATCCAGGAATCCCACTGGGAGACAAACAGGGGGTATGGGAGCCTATTCTATCCAGGAATCCCACTGGGAGACAAACATGGGGTATAGGAGCCTATTCTATCCAGGAATCCCACTGGGAGACAAACAGGGGGTATGGGAGCCTATTCTATCCAGGAATCCCACTGGGAGACAAACATGGGGTATGGGAGCCTATTCTATCCAGGAATCCCCACAAAGACAAACATGGGGTATAGGAGCCTATTCTATCCAGGAATCCCACTGGGAGACAAACAGGGGGTATGGGAGCCTATTCTATCCAGGAATCCCACTGGGAGACAAACACCGGATATGGGAGCCTATTCTATCCAGGAATCCCACTGGGAGACAAACATGGGGTATGGGAGCCTATTCTATCCAGGAATCCCACTGGGAGACAAACAGGGGGTATGGGAGCCTATTCTATCCAGGAATCCCACTGGGAGACAAACAGGGGGTATGGGAGCCTATTCTATCCAGGAATCCCACTGGGAGACAAACATGGGGTATGGGAGCCTATTCTATCCAAGAATGCCACGGACAGGGAGACATGGGGTATGGGAGCCTATTCAGTAACTAGCAAATGTGTTCATCTAATTCTTATACTGGTACCAAATAGAATATATATTTCCATCATTACAAATTCCTGTAACCTGTGTAATATCTCTAAGGATAGAATTTGATTTACAAAACAAAGACCTATATTGAGTATGAATCTTTGCAAAATACAACCATACATTTTACATGTCGTTTGTTGCAATGCCCCACTGCCATTTTGTGGTGCAACATACCAAACGAAAACATTAAGTATAGTTAACCTTTAAGACCTGAAAACAAACATCTTTATCTTCTCGCCACCAGCTTCAAATCTTTCAACAAAGCAAGATATTTGAACAAACAAATTGGGGGGAAATGCTTGACTTTTCCCCTCCATGTTTCACTTACAGCGACTTGACATGCTGCAGACCTCGCAACGATGCAGAAGAGAGCTGGGTAAGCTTGTTGTTAGTCACCAGTCTAATAACACACACAAACAATGTCGTCAAGCAGGGGACAAGAGGGGAGAAGCAAAAAAACTGACAAAAAATTACCACTTACTCATTTGGTTGTCAGTAGGACAAATTTTCATTGACAACTGTGAAACGATTGGAACAGAGATGCAGACAAAGTCTGTAGCTATGGTATGGCGTGTTGCTACAATGAGTCAAGTTTGAGGAAATCTGAGTGTTTTTCGGGTATTTTTTATTATTTACCTGTGTCATACTTGTGTGAAATTCAGATGACTGTGATTACAATCTAACAATCTTTGACGTGTAAGTAAAAAGAGGAATTCATAAAATAATATACTTTGTAGTCACAAAACAAATAATAAAAAAATATTGGCTGATTATAGATAATGTAAAGATACATATTCTCAAGGTTTCGGCCTCCCTTCCTTCATCATGAATACAGTAGTGGTTTAGCACATTATAATTTGAGATGCTTGTTCAGCCATTGCTGTAACATTGTTGGTCACAATGGACAATGGCTATGACATCACAGTTAGTAACGATGTAATAGCTTAATTCAGTTACAGCTTGAGGTTATGTATATTTATGTATTTATTTGAATTCCTCTATGTGAATGAACACAAAAGAAAATATAAGGATTATGTGTAAAAGCTTTTTTTAGAACAAAAATGCATTACAATTCTTCAGTTATATATCATTTATATATTTTAAACGTATGTATAATATTTTAAGTATCTCACGTAATGCAAAAGGCTTCCAGTTTATCAATTACTTATTTGGATTATATTTGATATCATGACTTTGCCATGTTACAGAAAGAGGACATCCAAACGCAGCTTGAATGTGTTTGTCAATGTCTTGGTAAAATCTCACAGTTCCATATTTTGTTTTCATATAACATCAGGCTATCATTACTAGTTTCATAACCAATGAAAATTACTTGAAGATACTGCCTCTGTTTTAACAAATTCTTTGTATATCTTTGTTATATCCTTCTCAGACACAACCCTGTATGTCTGATCAATTCTGAAACAGGATTCAGAAAGAAAGAAAAAAAATATATGAAAAAAGCTTCCAGATTTCCTATATATAAGCAATTGGTGCCAGCCTATCTTTTCACAAAATAGATATATATATATACACAGAGGCCTATGAAGCAGGGATCAAAGTCTTGTATAACAGCAAAACTCGCTAAGCAATATGATTCATAATTCAAAAGCATTTTGAAAATTCAAAGTTCATCAAGCAAAGCACAAAATGGTATTTCTAATTTTCACACATTCTAAACTCAGCATAACATATGTATCATGTATGTTTAATGTCAAACTTGGGGCGGTGGTAGCCCAGTGCTTAAAGTGTCGGCTCATCACACCGAAGACCTGGGTTCAATTCCCCACATGGGTACAATGTGTGAAACCCGTTTCTGCTGTCCCTGCCATGATTTTGCTGGAATATTGCTAAAAGCGGCGTCAAACTCACTCACGCACGTCAAACTCATGCAAATGTTTGACAATAGCATATATCAATCAATCACGATTAAAAAATTCATAATTTACGATTCATGTAACTTAATCTGGCCCTCACGAACATTTCCATATTTACATTCCATAACGTCCCACCATGCATCATCTCACAGGATATCTATAGCAGTTGCCAATAGCATGTACGCCATGAAGTATCTGGTCTTGCAAGCATGGAGATAAGTGTGTTGATGAAATATACGTCCCACTATTGATATCAACAACACACCCTATAAATCAGCTGTTAAGACAGGCAATTATAACTTACAAGTCTGTCAGTTTTTCTGCCCCTTCGAACGCTCCATCTTCTATGACTTCTATAGCGTTATCATTCAAATCTCTGAAGAAAAAAATAAAATAAAATAAACAGAGATACGAACATATAAATATGACAATCATTTGCCACCTTGTGGATGAAGTGAAAATAAACAATTTGAAAACATAAATTCTTGTTACATTTAATAACCTGGCTGAAAGCATGTTCAGTTCCAATTAACTCCATCACACTTACAGCAGACAGTTCTTGACACATGGGAATGAAATGAAGAATTTATGAAATATGCCATGTCAAAGATGTGAGGTGAAATTGGGTTTAACGACGTCCAAGATTATTGCACTTATATAGCGACATGCATGCACGTGTATGTGTGTGTGTGGCTGCTTGTACTAGTCTGGACTTATGCCAATTTATAGTGCTAGCTCACTGAGATACCATGCTGCAGTTTAACATGAATACCCCACTCAGACACAGTATACTGACTCTGAGCCGACAAGTCCTTGTTTTAGCCCCTTAATGCCGAGCGCCAGACAGGGTAACAACAAGTACAATCTTTTAACATCTTTTTGTATGACGCGGCCGGGAAACCTCGGACCTTTCGCTCTCCGGGCAGACGCTCTACCACAAGACCACGGAGGCGGTCGCCATGTCAAAGAAAACATGCAGCAAAATAATGAATTTCATAAATGTGTGGTGAGGTGAACTCTTGACATACATGGTGAGGTGAGGTGAAATTGGGGTTAATGTTGCGTCCAAGATTATTGCACTTATATAGCGACATGCATGCACGTGTGTGTGTGTGTGTGTGTGTGTGGCTGCTTGTACTAGAACGGACTGATGCCGATTTATAGTGCTAGCTCACTGAGATACCATGCCGCAGTTTAACATGAATACCTCACTCAGACACAGTATGCTGACTCCGAGCCGACCAGTCCTTGTTTTAGCCCCTTAATGCCGAGCGCCAGACAGGGTAACAACAAGTACCATCTTTTAACGTCTTTTGGTATGACGCGGCCGGGGATCGAACCCCAGACCTTCCGCTCTCTGGGCGGACGCTCTACCACTAGACCACGGAGGCGGTTGACATACATGGAATCCATACAGGTATTATATATACAACTAATGAGACGATCATGTGTTCTGTACCCAGCTGGTGGTAATACCCTGTGAAGATCCGGGGTAGAATAGGTCTTCAGCAACCCATGCTTGTCGTAACAGGCGACTAACGGGATCGGTGGTCAGGCTTGCTGACTTGGTTGATGCATGTTATCAATCAATGGATCGATGCTCATGATATTAATCACTGGATTGTTTGGTCCAGACTCAATTAATTTACAGACCGCCGTCATATAGCCAACCAACCCAATCAGCTTGCAGGCCTAGTCGGCCATGCTAATTAAGCCACGCCTCCCCATCAATGCTTTTAAGATTTGTTTGGGTTCTTACAAACATATACCTCAAAATACATGCAACAGCACTAAATTTATGTTTTCACACTTTTTCTCTCGGCCATTGTACATCATACTGGCTATATTATATCTATCAATATTTTTTCGTGATACTTGCACTTTAATGCTGAGCGCCAGGCATGGTAACAACAAGCACCATCTTTTAATGTCTCACAAGAACAGCTGTAATTTGAAACCCTCTCCTGTGCATTGACCTCACTTAACACCTTGATAAGTTTTTATATTAATATTTTTGTGTTTTGTTGAAGAAATATAGCATACTAAACGAGCTCCTGTGTAATAGCAATTTGATGGAACGAGTGAATAGTTCTGGTATCTGATTCACTTTCGCTCATCAGACACCGGGGCAGTCGGGTAGCCTAGTGGTTAAAGCGTTCGCTCGTCACGCTGAAGACCTGGGTTCGATTCCCGACATGGGTACAAATTGTGAAGCCCATTTCTGGTGTCCCCCGCCGTGATATTGCTGGAATATTGCTAAAAGCGGCGTAAAACAATACTCACTCACTCACTCATCAGACACCAGAAATATTCACGAGTTTCATACAATGGTATTACACGGGAGCTCGTTTAGTATTGTATTTGTTACTAGCCGTTTAGAACTTTCAAAAAAAAATCACTGTTGTATCTGAATAGGGAAACATCTAGACGAACCACAGCATAATCCAATTTTAAGTTTATCAGAATAGTACTTCAAACATGTCAAAAGTTTACATATAATACTTTAATACAATACAATGGCCTACTTTTAGAAATGAGGGGTTGGTTCTACCTAGCTCTCATATCACTAAGGTTTTTGTAACTCCCGTTCTATTACATAGATTTATGAATGTCATTGCGGTACGATTGCCCTGCCCCACATAATTTACAATCACCTCACAATGACGCAATTTGTCGAAATTTTGTTGCAAGATCCACCAGCGAAAAAAACCCCGATGTGACGTCAGCCTAGCAACAGGGTTGCTGGGGTCATCATCGGGTGGGTGTAAGCTCCTCCCAGTGATCTATCATCCCTACACTCAATGTCATTGAGTAAGTCCAGGAATATTTGGAGTTTTCAAAATTTGTCAGTGAAACTTGTTCCTGCAGTACATAAGCACACATTTTGGTATTGCAAAATGTGTATTACACCCTTATTGTTATTAAACGGGTGATCTCTTCACGGCAGTGTAACAAATAATGACAATGACCTTGAAGTCGACCTACAACAGGCTGTTGATATTGGGACCTGTTGGAGGAAACCAGGCCTGGATCATAACTTTATTTCATGTTTAAAATGGTGCTCAAAATGCAATCTCAATTATCCATTTCAAAAACCTCCTTTCTACGAAAACTGACACTGTCTGATAAAGCTGCAACTGAAAATACGGAATAAACAAAAGTCAAGCATGTCGTGACAATGATAAAACCATGTGTGACACACCATACCACACACAGAATACCCCGAGGTCACAGCAATAATGATTGGCTAAAGTGTTTTTCCAGATCCGCCAGTCTTTAACACACAAGTCTGCAGCTATAAATTTGGAAAAGCAGGCTTTTTCTTTGACCCTGAAAATCCCAATCTGACTCTAAGACCTTATCAAGATGCACTGATTAAATATTTTCACAGCAGCAGGGTGTTTTGTCAGTGCGAAATCTCACCAGAGTTGACAAGAAAATCTCAGACATGGAGTTTTTCACAGTTCAAGCTGTGAAAGATATGTTGTGTTTTGATATCTGCTTACTGATAAAGCATTTGTTTAAATTTTAAAGTTCCAGATTAAGAGAAAAGTATAATCTCACAACCAAATTTGTACTTATTAACTTCTAAAAATATCTTATCTTTTGAAGTAAATCCCTAAGCAATTTGTCAAAAACATTTAGATAAAACTTGTTCAAAGCAAATCCAAGTAAATATTTATCTTTCTCATCCACAAATCAACTCACTATATTTGATAGTACCCATCATCAAACTTAATTATTTTATTATTTATACACACAATTATATTTCAAATTACTACCCACATGACCTTAAAAAACCATGGCTAATATCAGTGAAATAGAATCACATTTGTTTGTATTTTCAAGTTGTTTAATTAATTTCAGATTGCTTAAATTTAGAATTCAAATTTCCTCTCTCTAAACATTTCTCCTCCTTATCATGTGGAAGATTTGACACCATATGGAAATTACAAATTATGTGAATAGTTTCCAGTTGTCTGGCAAGTAGTATTCCCCCACCATAAAAGTAAACACTACTTTCCAGATGACAGATGCTACTTACAGCACAAGTAGCTATATGCTCAAACAGGGGGACTTCACCTGGCAAATCTAAACACTTCTTACCAAAGTGTTGAAAGATGAGAACTTTGCTGTGTGGATCTGGCGATCTGTTTTAAAGTTGGAAGTAGAGAATGTATGGGATGGGTCATATGTGTTCACAGTGAATAAACAGTGTCACTCCAAGAGCTGACAAACTCTCAACTGTCAAATCACGGATTTTATCTCAATATGTCGTAGAATATATACAAGTGCTTCTTGCCTGTGGACATAATTATTATTCATTATATTTTTTCAGCTGCTATGTTAAATGTACTGTATACAAAGAACGAAACACCAGCATAAAATTCATCATCTCACATTTCAAGTTAAATTTTGAAATTTTTATGTTGGAAATAATGAGTTTTTGACAGTTTTACATTTTTAAGGCTTCACAATTTCTCGATAATGCAGAAGTACCACGTAAGTCCCGTACTTGGAAAGCATAATTTAATGGAAACAAGAAAAAAATCCAAACTGGTTAGATTTGCCATAAACAAGTAATTGGAACGAAAAAAAATTGAGGAGTGAATAAAGTATTATCCGTGAGTTTTTCTCCAGCCATTATTTTGATCATTTTAATAAAAAAAACGTATTTATCAGTCTTTTCCTTCAGCTAGACTTGGCATGAATTTTAGAAGCACACATCAACAGCGAGCACTTCCCTTATTATCTGACAATACAATACCCCCATACTGAGCTGTTTACTCCTATCATACAACGGTGCCATTCATCCCTTCTGAAAAAGTAAACATATTCCTTACTTCACACCCCATTTTTTGCGGCTGCTAAGTCTTCTTCAACAGGGAAAAGACACGATTCCAAAACAAATGCCACATAATCTGCCGTATCCGAAAAATTTGTCAAAGTTTATTCAGCAAATGTTAGAAATGTCTCGCCAAAGTTGAGAAACTGTTACGACAAAGACTTCAAAGCCTGTGCAAACAGTGTGGAGCTCTTAGCAGTGTGGTGACGACACTGTGTGGAGATTCCACTTGCGCAAGGTGTAATTGGCGCATACGACTGTCAATAGAACATGAGTTTCGGGTTGATCTCCCACGTTATTTGAGGTATAGCAGAATGACATCACATATATACTTCAGCTGGATAAAAAACGTATATCTAGAATTTAATGTTTATTAGTTAAATTATGAAAGTTATTGTTTAGTTTGGATAATGATTATGATTTTGTCATTTTTTTCAAACATAATTGTATTGACTACACCATCAATGAGGCAGGAGAGAGATTTAATTATCTACGAGCAGTAAGATAAAAATAGATGTAGAGTACATCATCAATGACGCAGGGCCAAATCAATTATCTAAAAGCTCTAAAATCAAAATAGTACAAGATGTGAGAGATCAGATCTGTGCAACACACAATTTATCTCACTTTATCAACACATGTTCACCAAGCTTCCGCCTCCCCCTCGGTTCAACCACCTGCCCCCCTCTCACCAACCACCTAACCCCCCTTCCCACCAATCACCTGTCTCAGCTAGGGGTGTGATATCACCCTTATTGCTTCTCTTGCAGCAATGGCTGCTTGGCAAATGTCTATGACCTTGAAGTGACCTTACACTCTTGCCTGCCAACGTTTACCTTTGTGTTTCACCTCCAGTGAAAATATTTTAATCTTCTCCACAGTTTCTCCTTTAGCCACCAGTTACAAAACATTTCAAAGTTCGCCACCACCACTTGTGAAAACATACATTCCCTTGTGTTGTACTTGGTGTTATTTAACGCAATTGCAGGTTTGTTTGGTTACCGGATGAAAAAATACATTTTTGATAGAACTGAACTTTCTGTAGTTGTACAACAGTCTTGTGCATTGTCTGTCTTGCTTACACGTGTCTGTATCTGGAATATTGTACGAATGTTGTATACAAATGTTGTACACGAATGTTGTATACTCACAGTATCTGAAGATTGGGTAGTTTTTTCTTGAATATTCCATCATTCTTAATTCGATTTATTTCATTATTTTCCAGTTTTCTGCAAAAAGATACAGTCACATAGTTTCATATTCAAACAAGTATAATACCAGTTCATATTCAAATCAATTGGTACATAATGATGTTTGTTTCAAAAGAAATACATAATTTGTGAATATGTATGGCCTACTGTACACTCTGCAGGACGCCATCTTGGACATGTTTGTTTGTTTGATGTTTAAAGGCACACAAGCACTATTCCAGCTATGTGATGGCGGTCTGTAAATACTCAAGTCTGCACTAGACAATCCAGTGATTGACATAATGAGCATCAAACTAAAAAATGAGAATAAATGACATGCATCAACCAAGTCAGCCTGACCACCTGATCCAGTTAGTTGCCTCTTGCATTCTGACCCGGATCTTCACAAGGGCATCTTGGATATGATACACAGATTATGAATAATGTGAGTGAACGAGTACGGTTTTATGCCACTTCTTGCAATATTCCAGCAATATCACGACAGGGGACACCAGAAATGGGCTTCACACATTGTACCCATGTCGGGAATCGAACCCGGGTCTTCGGCGTGACGAGCGAACGCTTTAACCACTAGGCTACCCAACCGCCCCCAAGGGCATCTTGGATATGATACACAGATTATGAATCATGTGAGTGAGTGAGTATGGTTTTACGCCACTTCTAGCAATATCACGGCAGGGGACACCAGAAACAGGCATTGTACCCGAGCCTTCGGTGTGGCGGGTGAACGCTTTAACCACTAGGCTACCCCACCCCCCATCATGATATGTTCAGGGTGGTGGTAGTGAGTGAGTGAGTGAGTGGTTCCACATAGCTTTTGCCAATATTCAAGAAAACTACTTTACACATTGCTACCATGTGGAGAATCAAACCCAGACCTTAGGTGAGGTGAGCAAGCACTTTAACAACTGGGTAATCCCTCCCCTGATTTCTATTGTAACGGCAGATAAACTACAGTAATATGAAAGAATTGGGTGTTCTTTAACTCCTTTTGCATATTAAATATAGTCGGAACAGTAACTGATCTACTTTTCATTTATCTTTTACCCAGTCATTTATTCAACTAGGCCACTGTAATAAAGTTTGCTTTGAACAGCTTAACAAGCAAATGCTTTAACAACTAGGCTACCCCACCGACCAACACCTTCACCCTATTGATGTGATAACAAGTAATTGCTTACAATTCGGTTGTATACATGGGTAGTTCTTTAGGGATATATTTCAGCCCACGTCCAGAACAGTCCACCGTTGTTCCGATGCACACGCATTCCCGCGGACATTCCCGATCTATCATGCAGTTCCCAGCATTCTTTGTTCGGTGGGCCTCCGAGCCTGAAATTGAAAAAACGAAGGTAGCTATTGCCTATTTGTCACAGTGAAACAACACTGCAAAACTAGGTTCCATATTTCAATGATTTCCAAAATATAAACATCTGATTACAGATGAACCAAATTTATTGAAATATTGGCAAAATTTTGAGTTATGATAGCAATTCTTGAAGAAAAACATGTTTTTGAATAGAAAAATGTTTTAAAGATATTTACCATGTTGAACATAGCATACAACTAATATTGGCTGGGATTGTTTGGGGTAAAATTTAGCGTAGTAAACAACAATGTTTTCCACAAATCTGTTCCATGCATACTAATGAGTTATTTAATGACCATGCTGGTTAGGGGATTTATTTATGAACAAGGGGTTACAAAATAAGGCTTAATGGAACAACACTTAACATGTAGCAAGAACAGGAACATTAGTGGAATAAATCTACGTATTACATTTTTGAAAATAACGGGGAAATACTATCGAAGAATATCGCAGAATTACAGAAAATGTTACACACAAGGGGTGATAGCAACAAGATAATTTTGGGTACAGAATATACAAGTGGGATTTTCGTTTGTTGGGTGATTGTCTTGGGAAACTTATCGCAAGACCTGCGGAGCTCCCATCATGCAGTGTGTCAGCTCAAAACGTCTTTCTTCCATGTCGTAAGCCACGGGAGTCTGGGGTTACTGACAACAGATCCACGTGATGCTAAGCTAGTAAATGAAATAAACATAATGCAGAATGTTAGGAACCAAATAAAAAGCACTCAAATCTCAAGACACCTTTACATTTGAACTTTGTCGCTCGAACATGTCCGATCTTTTTCCTTCGCATCCTGCGCGGGGTTTCGCAGCGTGCTCCGCTTGTCTCGATGGGATGGTCATGGAGGTACTCCGAGAGCCAGTGAAGATTACAATCGCAAATGAACGGGTTCCGAGCCAGATGTCTGAAAGAAAAACCACAATCATCAGATAACTTGTCAATCAATCCCATAAAAATAGATTTGCTTTCTTAATTTTTTTGTCCAAATTTGTGTTTTTGTGTGAATGATCGACATTACGTGGATCACCATGTTCTGACACTGATAACACATTTTTCAAAAAGGGTGCACTCTATGATATTGGGTTTGACAGTAGCAACACGGCTTGTGACACACTCTGTTGAATGGGTTCGACAGTAGCAACACGGCTCGTGACACACTGGGTTCGACAGTAGCAACATGGCTTGTGACACACTCTGTTGAATGGGTTCGACACTGGCATTGAAAGCATTAAGATAATTTAACAACTAACATTTTCTGTAAAATATTTTTATTTCAGGGACTAGGTGTCAGCCTATCTATGATATAACAGGTACGGTTTTTTAATACATGTGATATGATAATCTGATCCCTTTACAGTAGGGGAAAACAAATAACACATCATAGTTTAAATGTTTGATAACAGAAAGTGAAGGTTTTAGGAGCCCGAATGATCAAACTTATGATAATGATTCCATGAAACCCAAGTCATGAGCTTTTCTTTGATTTTCTTGTCACAGTCATTATTAATTAATTGTCTCTGAATGTGGAAGAAATGATTAAATATCAAACATGAGAAGTAATGGGTAAACTACATCATCCGATACAGATAGCTTCCCCTCTGAACACAATTAACGAAAATTTTATAAAAACTAGAAAAAAATCAAAGAAATTATAAAAAAACTCCATCGCTAACTGTAAAATCATCAAGCAAAGTTGAATTTGGTTTCCCTTCTGCCTTAATTCACATTGAAAAGTTTCTCAAAACAACTGTGAAATGTGACCCAAGAACATCAAGGCCCATTTTAAGTCAATTTATCACGTAATTGGCTAAAAAAGGACCAAATGACTGGTCACAATTCTTCTAATTCCCCAAACAACCCGCCACCCGATGCACGTCCCAAATAACTTGAGACTGTGAGTACTTTGGCATTTCTCTCCATGCATCAAATTGGACGGATAGTCGACCCCCGAGTCTCTGATGACACATGCCTGTCACTGTCAGGATGAGAAAGGGGTTTTAATCATCACTTAGGCCCATTTAATCATGGGCTGGAGAGAATGGGGGAACAGATTCAGGTCTTGGAGCCGGTCATGTTGATGGCGCTGATCGGTGTCCAGCCCATTAGGTGATGTGGTTTCCGACTTCCCTGTTTGTACTTCACGGATTAATATGTGTTGTCATATGATTTGGCATATGAAACATATTTATCACGTTTATTTGCATAGTCAAATAACAAAAACATATTCTCGTGTCTTGTTGAAAAGGATCACGCTTTACCTGATGAATATATACATGGGTAATTTATTTTGTAAGTAAAAACACAGCTATTAGTAAGGGATTTCATGATTGGCTTGTGTTTAAAAGAACATTCTTTCATAACATCATAAGGGGTGGTGGGATAGCCTCTTGGTTAAAGCGTTCGCTTCTTATGCTGAAGACACAGGTTAAACTCTCAACAGGGGTACAATGTGTGAAGCCCATTTCTGGAGTCCCATGCTGTGGTATTGCTGTAATATTGCTAAATGCGGTATAAAACCACATTCACACATTCACAATATCACAAGTACTACATGACTATACCACAACATTAAAATGAGAGAAAGATCAGGGCCCACTTGCACAAAGCAATCTTAGCGCTAAGACTATCGTAAGCCTATGTTAAAGTATGGGAGTTACGATCATCTTAGTGCTAAGATTGCTTTGTGCCCCAGAAAGCCCCAGAAGTGGCCCCAGAAAACAAAACTATCCACATTTGTGACATTTAAAATTAACAATATTGTGGATTCAGCAGCTGGTGAGAATGTTCTTCCAAAAGAAGTCCAGAGTTTGATTCCACGATGGTACATTGTCTGAAGGACATTCCAGAAACCTACGATACTCCATCAATACTGCTACTATAGAGTAACATTCTAACTATCATCAATACAACACAAGATAATACTAAACAAAGAATTTTACCGATCTCATTTTTGGTAAAACTGAATTATTTACAACCAAGCCTCAAATCAGCCACCCTGTCGACCAAGACATATAAACCAATAAAATCTCGTTCACAAAATCCCCAAGAGTTACCCGAAAATCATGCTGGTGTTTGTCAAACAGTCATCCTTGCTGACTAACAGAATTCATTTAAAAAGATTAAGCAGATAAATTTTCAGGATGTTTGAGATATTTTAATGGCGCCGTTATCTCACGCTGACAAGGGATGGCAAGCGCATAATCTAACTTCATGCCAACAGATGCATGTCGGACTTAAAGTCTTCCAATTCCTTCGGGAAATTTCAGATTTAATCATCACAGCCTTTCCCTCTAATTTGTCCATCTCCCTAAAATGTCCACCTCCCTAAAAAACACATCAGCCTTAAGGCTCCAAGCCGGCCCCTAAAATGTGATTAGATGAGTCATGGGTGACTAAGATATCCCATGATGCCTGTTGCTCAATTCAACAAGTTTATTAACTCACAGCTGCGTCCCCGCTTGGAGAAATACCATCAATATTCTTCCCTAAATCAAACCCTGGACGGAGGCTGAAGCCAGTATTATAGCATCTGTTACCATATATCGGATCATTTATAACAGATATTGTCTTAAAGGATCTCGTAAAAGGGGCTGGTATTACATTTACAAAGAAATAAATTTACTTAAATTTCACAAAGTACCGATATGACATTGGCTGGTTCATTTTATCCACAACATGATATTATAGAACTCAAGTGTGTCTTGATCTGAACACACTTGCTCCCGGAACAGTCAAACTGTATTAGAGTAAATTTGATCACATAAAGCTCTGGGAACCATCAGAAATTGTGATCAAGTTTGGAGATAAAATCCTATTGCATTTCCTGTATTCCTAAAGGGATCATTTGATGCTATCCTTGTCTGATAAACTTGTTTAAAGCATTAACCATTATAATAATTACACAAACCTCAAACCACTGTTCACAAACTTTTACAACTATGATAATAAAATCTGTTTTAAGGACCTCCTGTGACTCAAGTTTTCTAATTTGGGCAAAGCAGTTTCGGGGGTTTCAATTTCCTATAAAATTCAAACAAGATGAATTAGAGGTTGTAGTTTCTTTAAAAAATGTTGGAAAGGTTGACTAATTGTAAAGAAATATCTCTTTTATGTGTCAGGGTGGACCAATAAATTCTTAGAAGTGTCTGAGGATTGACTACAGCCAATCAGCTCATCACATCAAAGCTGGCCATATTAAGAAGAAACACTTCTGCAGTGCTCAATCTAAGAAAAACAATGGTCAGAAAATCGTCAATGGTATTTGGAAAATAGAATATTGGGTGGAAATGAATTCTTATACACATGTAATTTCATTTCTCGTGTCATATGCGTCATCTGAATAAAAAAATCTTTGGACTGTTCATCAAAATGATGTTAACAGCATCTTTGTTTTTCAGTTGTTAGTTTGTCAGCAGTAAGCTTCAGTACCTCATTTAGGTTTGTTTGTTTGTTGTTAAATGACGCACTCAGCAATATTCTAGCTATATGACAGCGGTCTGTAAATAATCAAGTCTGGCCCAGACAATCCAGGGATTGACATCACGAGCATCGATACACGTAATTGGGATACGATGATATGCATCAACCAAGTCTGACCACTTGCTCCTTTTTAGGCGCCTCTTACGGCAAGCATAGTCGCCTTTTACAGTAAGCATGGGATGCTGAAGACCTATTCTACCCCGGATCTTCACGGATCGAAAGAGTAAAGTAAGGTTGGGAACATCAAGAATTGCACTGAAGAACCAAACTCGGTTCTTTGGTGTAGCGGTGAACGCTTTAACCACTAGGCTATCCTCCCATGATATGGAGACCTTGTGTATTTACTTGCACTGTAATTAGAGAGTGAGAGTATGATAGCAATCATACAGAAATTTCACAGCAGGGGGACCGCCTCCGTGGTCTAGTGGTAGAGTGTCCGCCCGGAGAGCGGAAGGTCCGGGTTTCGATACCAAAAGATGTTAAAAGATGGTACTTGTTGTTACCCTGTCTGGCGCTCGGCATTAAGGGGCTAAAACAAGTACTGGTCGGCTCGGAGTCAGTATACTGTGTCTGAGTGGGGTATTAATGTTAAAACTGCGGCATGGTATCTCAGTGAGCAAGCACTATTAATCGCATCGGTGCAGCGACAGAAACACACACATGCATGCACGTGGCTATATAAGTGCAATAATCTTGGACGCGTCGTTAAACCCCATTTCACCTCACCTCACAGCTGGGACATGAGAAATGGGCTTCACAGATTGTACCCATGCAATTATGAGACGAATATGGATTGTGAGAGGGGAAGAATACTTTTGAGATGTTTAAATGGGTTGAGGATAGGCTAATTGTTTTTCAATCCATATTTCCATCATGTAAGGTAAGCTTTAATCTCATCTAGGCAAAAGCAAAAACAAAAACGCATCTAAAAATGGTATGACAGTAAGGGTAAAGAGTAGTCTTCTCCCCATACGCTGTATATGTCTCAAATATTTCAATCCTGACAAGTTCCATCACTGCCCCAGGGTCTGGTATGTGTATGCCTGGGGTCAAGGTCGCATTCTTGAGACTACTCTCAGAACCACTTATCTCATATATGACCCCAAAATTTATAATTAATACCATCTAAACGACAGATTTATCCAAAATGGGTCATAAATGTATGAGCTGTTTCATAACCTGACATAAGGTTTGATATTTAAAACTGTATTAGCAATAAAAACCTCCATGATGGAGTAGGTTATCTACATAACTTGACCAGGTCATTAATGGGTTTCAGTAACACAAAGTGAAGTACTTTATTTTAAAAAATAATGATAACATGGCAATATATCTATATTAACCACATTGTATTTTTATACAATAAGCCCACACTTTTTTAATTTTATGTTTCACGGATTATTCCAGATTTTCCACACAAGGTCGGCCAAAATAAAAATAAAAATGAACAGCTATGTCAATCATTTATTTATGTTTTTATTTATGTGAAAGTCATTCTGACATGGAGTTAAAACTACAGCTAGCTTCTTGAATCACTGAGAGTGAATAGAATATTGATAGTGACATAGAATTTATATATAACATTTTTTTTATTGTTTCAGAAGGTCTATTTTACGAAAGGCAGACATAATAATAAAAAAAATTAATTAATTCTTTTCTTGAACCTGCTGTTTTTTCAGAAGGGACAGTGGGCCTGTGAAATGAAACTATAAAATGTGAGGCCTTAGGCAATGAATCTTTAAAAGTAGCTCATTAAATGTGTTTCAACACGGAGATGCACTCCCCACGTTAATGGTTCCTGTATTAGTCTGGTAACATGGAAGCACCTACCTAGCCCAGGTAGTCACAACATCTAAGATCCTGTTTTAAGTAGGCAGGAAATGGCAAGGTAATTAGGAAGTAAACACCAGTCGCCGTAATCCCTCCATTTAGAGGGTTACTGACTTCATATCTGCTTCCTTACACTTGATGAGGCATACGTCAATCAGACTGCATCTTTTTTTCATTTCAATTACTAAATGATTTTTCTATGTAATTAATCTGTATATTAGTCGCCATTCACAAACACAAACCCCACCCAAACATGACTCACACTGCATCCCACCCCAATAAACATGATTCATACTGAATCCCACTCCAATCAACATGATTCATACTGAATCCCACCCCAATCAACATGATTCACACTGAATCCCACCCCAATCAACATGATTCACACTGACTCACACCCCAATCAAAATGATTCATACTGCCTCACACCCCAATCAACATGATTCATACTGCCTCACACCCCAATCAACATGATTCATACCGCCTCACACCCCAATCAACATGATTCATACTCACTCCCACCCAAATCAACATGATTCATACTGCCTCCCACCAAATTATGATTCATACTGCCTCCCACCCCTATCAATATGATTCATAATGCCTCCCACCCAATCAATATTATTCATACACATCCCACCCCAATCAATATGATTCATAATGCATCCCACCCAATTAATATGATTCATAATGCATCCCACCTAACCAACATGATACAATCTGCATCCCAAATCAATCAAGGAAATAGTGATTAACTGTTTAAGAGAAATATCAAAGAAACATTGACAGAGATGTATATAGCATGTTGACCTATTTATGCTTCACCTCTGACAACCGATTATGCAAGTTTGCGGAAACGCCATCACTAATGATGTAAATATCCCGAAATGTGAATAACAAAAAGATGGATAATCTATTTCCCTGTGTTTACTCTGGAAGTCATATGGAGAGCAGATGAATCATCGCGCATCTCCGCATGTGCGTGCTCTGTCCCTCGCCTCGATCACACGCACATGCATCACCGCACAGTCACTGCAGTCATGTGACCTTATCCGTCAATCACTCAGTGCACATTTTGTGTTTATAATCAGTTGTCATGGCAACAGATTTGTCACCTGGTGCAGTACAATTAAATCATCAGCCGCATGTTAATTAAAGTTAATTAAAGCCCATATTCAGGGCTTTGATGGACAGATAAGCAGCCCTCATTGAGGATATGGCATAAACGGCCTGGCTAAATGAATGAGCTGTTATGGGAATGTCAGTGGGTGTAGCGTGATGACGGACGAATTATGACACATGTCAGAATGCAGGATGTGAGGACATGCAGGCACACACAATCCTACAAGTGATCTCTGTTCATTTAGAAATGCTGCTTCATGTTTAGATTAAAACAAGGAAGTCCGAAAATTTCACACTCAATTACTTGATCATAATTGACTCTTCCAACTTTCATTGATATTTACTTTTCAAATATTACACAAAAGAAGTTAAGGACCACCTGATTTTTTCATATTACTAAAGTTAATTTCTCATGGCACGAAAAAATCGGATGGTCCTTAACTTTTTTTGGGTAGTATACAAAACCAATTATAATGATTTTTGACATGATACATCAGTGTACTTCAAATGATAGTCTGTCATACAGACCCTGAAACAAATATATCCAATACAGCCCAGGCAAGTCTATAATATTTGGCAAGTCTAGATTACTGCAGTATCTGAAAATGAAGAAAGTCTCTTGGCTCCTTTTTATTATATTTCATAACCATTATTTAACAACTGTCTTTTTCGGTAAATTATATGGAGAATCTCACCCGAGTGTCTTTTGAATACAAATATATCAACGAGATTTTACTTATCATCCAACATCATTCTTCTAACTTTTTCAGTTTGTAGACAGTAATAAGCACACTCTCCTACCCAGAGTTCCATGCGGCCGGCAGCCAGCTAGCATAGTACCTCTGCCACAGGCCAGCGCCATGTGACGATTCGTCACATCTTTCACAGTCCATTCAAGATATTGCATATGCTTTTCATCCGTTTCATGTTTGACAAGTCTACACATTTTACACATTACATAAGCAAATGTCAAAGAATGGTTAACTTTCATTGAGAAAGTATGCAAATACGTAAAAATCTACTTGTTTTTGCGTAGTTATCCAATGTTTACATTGGTTGTACGGCTCCACGTGCTGTCATGGAAGCGCAACGGAGAGCAAGCAACACGGTCACTTTGATGCATAAATATATATTGTCATGCAACTCACTGTCACAGTTGTAGTAGCATATCTATATAGTTATGCAAAACAATATGTAAAGCGCCCCAAAATACTTGCATTAGTCCGTTCTATACTGATTTCTGAAAAAGCGCGTTTGTTTACAAACAAGAGAAAAGTCTGGTCACGTGATATGCAAATTAGCCTGTGGCAGTGGTGTTATGCTGAGTCACCACTGTGATGGAGTGTGTAATAAGCAGTGTCTTAAGTAGTGCTAACAATTTCAGTAGCAGAGAGAGAGAGCCATTAGTGATGTCATTTGATTGTGACGTCATGGTAACCAATGACATCACAATGGTCTGCAAAGCATTGTGATGCAATTTCATTGCAGCAATATCTACAATGTAGATATCGCTTGATCTCACCCAAGCCATATCTCCTGTGGGAGCCAGTTTTGGATGATTTCAGGGACTAGATGTTAGTCTAATCAAATGACATTGTTTGTTGTATAACGCCACACTCAGCAATATTCCAGCTATATGACGGTTAATCAAATTACAGAATCCTCCCCAAACCATATATTAGTTCATATTATTCCATTCATTGTATATAAGACAATATTTTCTAAACAAGTCCCAAATTACATATCCTTTAATATCTTTTTATACATTAACATATTTGTTTTAAACTCTGTAATAATGACTAATTAATCTGTTACAAGATATTTCTTTGAATAAGTAGGCGCAAATATACAAACTACAGTAAATGGAAAAAGTGATTTAATCATCACTAGAAGATGAGTCAAACAAACCTTGACATTTCCAAATCCTAATACATAAATTTTACTCATAATTTGGCAAGGTACAAACGACTTTGCTGAGCTGTTGGTAAGATTAATCCAACTTGGAACCAGTGGATTGCCAATACACAAGCTTCTACTTACAAAGTCTGTATGTTCCTCAGCGGTGTGAACGTATTGTTGGCCAGAGACTGTATCTTGTTGTCGTACAGCGATCTGAAACAGAAAATTGTTGATTGTTACTCGAGCTGAGAGACTGAGACTAAACCATTAGGGCAGACCTTTGTGTTTTGTTTTTGGTTTGCGCATGTTTGGCCCATTGGCCCCAAAACTCAGGTTGGTAGGTTGAAAAGATCAACAACAAAAATCCAATTTCCAATATTTGTTTTGATTTTCTCAAAGTGTTTAGTAGCTAATGGAAAACAAAGTGGGGGAGGCAGTTTTAAAGAAAATTCTCAACAGGTTATAATGATAGTATTTTGAAATATATAGTTACAGCAACAGTAAATGAGCTTTTTTCAAAACATTTTACTTATTTCAGTTTGGCAGAATTACAATAACACTGCCTTTCATATTTTTCAAATTTCAGTTTTGGGTAGTCAGCAGATTTGTAATCCATTAAATGACACACTAGACAACTGACATTAAAGGGCCAAGTTCAATGTTCAATGTTCAAAGCTGGTTGTGTTTGCTGATACTCTTGGAAGAAAAGATGCAAAACGGGTTAATCCCACATCACTTTGGTTTCAATAAAAGTCCTGCCGCCATCCTCACTTTTGAGAAAAATGGCCCCGAGAAACTTTTATTTGTTTTATGAATACATATTTATGTAGTCTTGAAAGTTCAATCAAATAAGCCTTAGTCATGGTTGTAGATATTTTTGGGTGATCTACATAAGGTCTCACATTGATACAGAAAATGATTCAAATCAGAGACCATATATGTATATGTTATCTGTTCAAATGTAAACACAGGATCGGGTGGTCAGGCTCGCTGACTTGGTTGATACATGTCATCGATCCCAATTGCATGGATCGATGCTCATGGTATCAATCACTGGATTGTCTGGCCCAGACTCGATTATTTACAGACCACAGTCATATAGCTGGAATATTGCTGAGTGCGGCGTTAAACAACAAAACAACCAACCAATCAAATGTAAACAATAATCACACACCTCATATTGTCTACAGTTCTGCTACACCCAGACTGATTAAGCAAGTGAGTAAGTGATACCTGATTAACATCCCACCATTGTTATGTCATGACTTCTGACTTTTCCACACACCTGCAGACATAAATATCATCCTGTCTGTGTATCACAAACATGCCAATGTTTATTTCAGCAAGTAGCGCCCCCTAGCAGACACTCATTGTACTCCTGCTGGTGTGAGTTTATCAAAGACGACCCTCCTCTCATGAAGTGTACAAGAATTTTGATGCCGCTCCTACACTTGTTGAGCCGATAAACAAGCAAAGTTTATTCAAACAAACATTTGTCACCCATGACAATGTGGGTTATTTCATCTATTACTGCAGAAGATTTGAAAAGTGTTTAGTACGGAGAGGCTACATACTGTAAAATTGTTGTTTGCAACATTGTAACCAATTAAAGCATGAGTAAGGACACAGTAAGGATAGTCATCTTTGGACAATTATGGAATGGCAAGCATTGGTCAGCTGCACAATAGTCAATCTAAGGGAGTAGTCATTCATTATTTTTTGTTTTGTTTGTTGTTAAATGCCGTACTCAGCAATATTCTAGCTATATGCAGAGCTCCAGATAACGTTTTTAGCAATTGAGTTTTTACTCTAGGGTTTCTATTTTAATTAAGGGTTATTAGATTTTTCATTGGGTAACCAACATTTTTTCACTCATCTATTCATCACTCTATTGGGTTTTTACCAAAATTAGTGAACAATATAAGATTTGAAAAAAAAGGAAATAATGTTTTAGATGTATATAACTGTTCTAAATATATAGGCTTGACTCGGAAAGTAAATTAGCTCGTAATTGTGTTTCGGAAATTAGCTCCTTTGTACGCATGCTGAAAAAGCTTCATTGGATATCTACGCAAGCTGTTTTTCTAATTTGAGTTCTTCATTTAATGCATGCGTTTCTGTTAATTTAAGTCAATTTCAAGTAATTGGGTTTTGAATATTTTTTTTTGGAATTTTATGCAAGTACACTGCTTATCTGTAGCTCTGTATATGACAGCGGTCTGTAAATAATTGAGTCCGGATAAGACAATCCAGTGATTGACATCATGAACATAGGTCCATACAACTGGGATATGATGACATTCATCAACCAAGTCAGCGAGCCAGTTCCCGGTCCCTATTAAATGACCAGTCCCTATCCAGTCATACATTTGAAAAAGTCACCATCTGATAGCTGATTGTTGTCAATTGCATGGATCAATGCTCATGATATCTATCACTGGATTGTCTGGTCCAGACTCGATTATTCACAGACCGCCTTCATATAGCGGGAATATTGCTGAGTGTAGCGTTAAACAACAAACAAACAAATAAAGATACCTGACTATACTTAAATAGTTTCATCAAATAAAAAAATAAGAAACTGCCCAAAGCAGTTGTCCCTGTCTGTATGTATGTAGGAACAACAAAATGATGAGGATGGGGTGGGGGTGATGGGGTGTGTGTGTTGGTTAGCGAGGATCGTGGGGGTGAAAATGTAACAATTATTTATCAGGGCATTACTGATGACTGGCCAGGTTAACAGTGCCAAGTCCTAGGAGGCAGAGGGGGGAACTTGGCCTATACCCTAAACCAACACGCTCTTCTGACAGCACAAAGCCTACAGCAAGTAGCTCATAGATCTAAATCCTCAAATGAAAACAACCAAGACATACCAAAGTGTCTCCCCGCATACACGGACTCACCGAGTGAAATCAGGAAAAGTTTTTGTACATCTACAATTACGGTACAATAAACTTATTAATTTATGTTCCGTGTGCCCTAGCCAGGTGAGCTACAGGTGATTAATCTGCTGCTGATGGTGGCAGGAGGTCTCGGGAGGAGTGTTAGGGTAGGAAATACTCCCTAGTTTCTTACAAACAAACGAGTGAGTTCGTCTCATCAATATCTGCCAGTTCACATGTATCCCAGAAACACTACATGCTAAATGCCTCGTGAGATATTTTGACAGGATGTGTGTATTTACGTTTGCGTTTTTCTGTCAGCAGCGTGCATGTATCCTACATGTAGCTCATCCAGGCCTCACAGCCACAGATTGATCATGCTGTCCTAGACTGGGTGTATCCCCTAACATGCACCGAGATTGACTACAATCAGTGAGGTGTTGTAGTCAGAAGTATCCCAGCTATTTCATGGTGGCCTGTAAATAATTAAGTTTCCTTCAGACAAACCAATGTGATCAGGGCATGATGACCCACAATCAGCCAAGTCAGAGAGCCTGGCCACCTGATCTACAATCAGCCAAGTCAGAGAGTCTGGACACCTGATCTACAATCAGCCAATTCAGAGAGTCTGGACACCTGATCCACAATCAGCCAATTCAGAGAGTCTGGCCACCTGATCAACAATCAGCCAAGTCAGAGAGTCTGGACACCTGATCCACAATCATCCAAGTCAGAGAGTCTGGCTACCTGATCCACAATCAGCCAACTCAGAGAGTCTGGACACCTGATCTACAATCAGCCAATTCAGAGAGTCTGGACACCTGATCCACAATCAGCCAATTCAGAGAGTCTGGCCACCTGATCAACAATCAGCCAAGTCAGAGAGTCTGGACACCTGATCCACAATCAGCCAAGTCAGAGAGTCTGGCTACCTGATCTACAATCAGCCAAGTCAGAGAGTCTGGACACCTGATCTACAATCAGCCAAGTCAGAGTCTGGCTACCTGATCTACAATCAGCCAAGTCAGAGAGTCTGGACACCTGATCTACAATCAGCCAAGTCAGAGAGTCTGGCAAACCTGATCCACAATCAGCCAAATCGGAGAGTCTGGACACCTGATCCACAATCAGCCAATTCAGAGAGTCTGGACACCTGATCTACAATCAGCCAAGTCAAGAGTCTGGCTACCTGATCTACAATCAGCCAAGTCAGAGTCTGGCTACCTGATCTACAATCAGCCAAGTCAGAGTCTGGCTACCTGATCTACAATCAGCCAAGTCAGAGTCTGGACACCTGATCCACAATCAGCCAAGTCAGAGTCTGGCTACCTGATCTACAATCAGCCAAGTCAGAGAGTCTGGCAAACCTGATCTACAATCAGCCAAATCGGAGAGTCTGGCTACCTGATCCACAATCAGCCAACTCAGAGAGTCTGGACACCTGATCTACAATCAGCCAAATCGGAGAGTCTGGACACCTGATCCACAATCAGCCAAGTCAGAGAGTCTGGACACCTGATCTACAATCAGCCAAGTCAGAGAGTCTGGCAAACCTGATCTACAATCAGCCAAATCGGAGAGTCTGGACACCTGATCCACAATCAGCCAACTCAGAGAGTCTGGACACCTGATCTACAATCAGCCAAGTCAGAGAGTCTGGACACCTGATCTACAATCAGCCAAGTCAGAGAGTCTGGCAACCTGATCTACAATCAGCCAAGTCAGAGAATCTGGACGCCTGATCCACAATTAGCCAAGTCAGAGAGTCTGGCCACCTGATCTACAATCAGCCAAGTCAGAGAATCTGGACGCCTGATCCACAATTAGCCAAGTCAGAGAGTCTGGCCACCTGATCTGCAATTAGCCAAGTCAGAGAGTCTGGACACCTGATCCACAATCAGCCAAGTCGGAGAGTCTGGACACCTGATCCACAATCAGCCAAGTCAGAGAGTCTGGCTACCTGATCTACAATCAGCCAAGTCGGAGAGTCTGGACACCTGATCCACAATCAGCCAAGTCAGAGAGTCTGGCTACCTGATCTACAATCAGCCAAGTCAGAGAGTCTGGACACCTGATCTACAATCAGCCAATTCAGAGAGTCTGGACACCTGATCCACAATCAGCCAAGTCAGAGAGTCTGGACACCTGATCCACAATCAGCCAATTCAGAGAGTCTGGCCACCTGATCAACAATCAGCCAAGTCAGAGAGTCTGGCTACCTGATCCACAATCAGCCAAGTCAGAGAGTCTGGACACCTGATCCACAATCAGCCAGGTCAGAGAGTCTGGCAAACCTGATCTACAATCAGCCAAGTCAGAGAGTCTGGACACCTGATCCACAATCAGCCAAGTCAGAGAGTCTGGCAAACCTGATCTACAATCAGCCAAGTCAGAGAGTCTGGACACCTGATACTCTACTTCAAATTCTTTACTGGAATCTCCATAAGGAGACAAACATGGTAAACTGAAAGCTATTTTTTTTATCAAGAATCACTGCTTCCAGGGACAAATTTGTATCAAGAATCCCTATGTGTAGCTGTGTACTATGAAAGTAGAACCCTTTCCCGAGAGGGCACACAGACCAGTCTGTGTGAAGCTGTTTGTACTGGAAAGAGGGGTCCATTCCACCTTTCTCCAGGGTGAGAAATGGTGGGCTTGGTTAAATAGTTGGAGGTGGGGAAGAATGGGTGTGTCTGTGGATGTGGATATGGATGTGATAGACGCAGCATTGGGAGGGTAATCTTTTTAGATGGTATTTTTTGTTCAAAGTGAAGGCAACTTACAGCAAGTTGAGGTTGCGTAGATCTCTAAATGCATCCACTCGGACACAAGTAATCTTGTTGGCATTCAGCAACCTGGAAAATGAAAGAGATATTGTCATTACAAACCATGTGTTACATTATTGTCTTCATAAGCGTCATCATAAATAGTTCCAAGTTATGTGGTAATGATCCTCAGTAACATCCCTGAGTCATGTTATGTCCATTGTTTTGATGGTTGCTTTTCTTGACACTGGCATGATTTGTTTTGGGGAAGAGGGGAAGGAGCCTTGGCTCGCAGGCTTGAATTGTCAGTCAGAGCGCTGCGCGTTTCTTAGCCACCAGGGGTAAGTCAATTCATGCACCCCCTCCACAGGCAATATGAACTTCAATGCTCAAGGAGTAAAATTCAATGTCACACTTAATTTACACATTTAATTATATTTAACTTTCACATATAATTATATTCAATTTAATTTCATAGTTAACAAAAGTCCAAGGATCTTACAATAAACCAGAATAAAGTAACAGTGATTTGTATTCACACTGAGAGAGAATGGAGAATGAAGTAAGGTTGAATACTCAGAATATCACCATGAAATTTATGAAGTCAAATAAGCAAAAAGTGTCAGGACTTCTTTTACACCAGTGATAACCCCAAAATAGTTAAGCTGAATTATCTCAAGTTATCTCAATATAGAAGCTATTTATGTTCATAGTGTTATCAAAAACCAGCTTCTTAATAGTTCACAGCCGCAAGTTTTGACATTATGCATCATTCAAATATTAATTTCACACAAGAAATATCAACTACTTTTCAAATAAATATGCTCACTGCACATTCAGCCATTACTGAACTACGTAAGTAATAAGTGAAACGCTTTTTGTGTCAGATGATGTGATATGGAGGCGTTGAGTGGGTAATGAGAATTATGATCTATTATCACACCCAACCAGGGTTCTGCAGTTTGACCTTTGTAGCGGAGGTTCTTTATCGCAGTGATAACATTTATCTGGTGTTGACTCTCGCTTTCTTCTGGCTTGTAATCAAACTGTAGCAGACATCAAAGGGAATTTATCGGAACACACCTCTATCTGGTACAAAACAGTATCGTAAATTGGACCTGCAGTGTCCATTTTCGCACTGTCAAGAAAACTTTCAGAAATAAGTGTTCTCATAATAATATGTGCTGCTTCGGTTCCAAAGGATGCCCGATAAGCAGGTCTGTTTTGTGTAAAGTTCAAACATTATCTATGTATCTGTATATTGATATATATAATATGAGTGAGTGAGTGAGTGAATGAGACTGCTTTCAACAGTATTTCAGTCATATCAAAGCATGTCAGATTTATTTATGGGAAAAGTCCAAAGTGATGGAGCTTTGATGTAATCCACACATTGAGTCTGGTGATGACAAATCAAAGATGATAATCAGGATGTCAGTCCACAACAAGTGGATCACAGCAAACTCCTCACAGCGATAGCCCATTGGCAGAGCTCTCCATACTATCACTGCCACCAGTCAAAGCTCCCCACTGTGGTAGATGACCACAGCCATGCTTGGAGTTGAACATGCAACTGACTGACCGTTAACAATTCTACATTGATAGCATAGTTTACACTTTTACATTTACTCTCATGATGTTGAGACAAAGTTCAAAACAGAAATTCATGTCTTATGATGATGAGGCATTTTTTTGTTTATTTGTTGGTTTACAAACATTTGGCCAAAAGTTCAATGTAGTTGGTAAAGAAATCAAATAATTTTGAACTTTCAGATTAGTACTGCTACTAATGAAAGAAAAACAAACAAGTTTTAACTTGGCAAAATACAGATTGTTTTCTCCCCATAAGAATAAAAACTATTTTATATGCATTATTTATCATTTCTAATGAAAAGTAGTGACAAAATCTCTCTTGTTTTTCATTTCCCCATAATGTAAAATTAGGTCAAAGACAAATTTTCAAAAGCAAATTTTTCTTCTTCTAATTTCTGTTTTTTGGGTGGTCGGTTGGGCTCATCAACCAACTAAAAACTAAATATGGCCTAACCCATCACTGTTAGTTTGTTGTAAGGCTGGGACGAGTCCAAATTTACTACCCAGGTGCCCAACCCCCTATTACCAGACCCTACCCAGGTACCCAATTCCCTATTACCCGACCCTACCTGGGTATCCACTGAATAGGTCTCAAGAATTGGGAACAAAATGTCTTTTTGGGAAATTTTTTTACCACAGCCCTGGCAAAAACTATTTAGATACATGTATCAAACAATCAGATCATACGTACACTGAAGTTGACTGAAGCTTTATCTTTTCTCAAACATATACAAGTCAAAAGGAATGTTGCATCATCAGAAAGAAATGCGAACATTAGCAACTAGCAGTGTAATTACAGAGCTGAAGTGAGTTTTTGTCATTAAACAATGTAACCATGGTCCGGGTAGTACTGTGGGTACCCGGGTACTACTCAGGTCCCACCCGACCCGAGTACGCGAGTTACCAGTCCCAGCCCTTGTTTGTTGACACCATGACTGCATTACCTCGATGTTTTGTGGACATCATGACTAACACTAATGTATCATCCTCACTATTGATACAGGTCATGTCCAACATAAACTTGACAAAGACATGCCTCTCTTTAAATGCATCATAAAATAAAATGAAGCTTTTACATAAAACATCAAAACATCATATCCATAATCTATACCCCAATCTTTCAACTGTCAATCACAACATATTACAAATTTAAACAAATTGGTTTCTTGTTTGAAACAGCTTCAGGCATCAGGCCGTTCGTAATGGATTTTTTTTCTGAAGCTTTTTAGCTAAATCTCTAAATCATTCCGGCAAGCTTCCAACTTGATGTTTTGCTGAATATACACATTTAGTGGACAGTGACGAACACGCCTCATGATGGCAATGTACGTGAGAAATGGATCACACGATCTCCTTGCTGTTTGTCATATCTTACCATAATGTATCTAAATAATGATGGCAATATACATGAGAAATGAATCACACAATCTCCTTGCCGTTTGTCATGTCTTACCATAATGTATCTAAATAATGATGGCAATATACATGAGAAATGGATCACACAATCTCCTTGCTGTTTGTCATATCTTACCATAATGTATCTAAATAATCATGGCAATATACATGAGAAATGGATCACACAGTCTCCTTGCTGTTTGTCATATCTTACCATAATGTATCTAAATAATGATGGCAATGTACGTGAGAAATGGATCACATGATCTCCTTGCTGTTTGGCATATCTTACCATAATGTATCTAAATAATCATGGCAATATACATGAGAAATGGATCACACGATCTCCTTGCTGTTTGTCATATCTAACCATATTTACGCTTCCATAAACCGAAAAAACATTTGACCATGCCCACAAACTTACAACTGTTTCTTGATTGGCTGATAATAGAATGTGCTGAAAGGTGTCGCTGATTTCGAATTGCTGTGTACAGTTGTCTACAGTCTGTGAGTGAGTGAGTTGGGTTTAACGCCGCTTTTAACAGTATTACAGTTATATCACGGCGTGTCAGCTTAATGTGGGAGGAAAACCCAAAGTGATGCAGGTCTCAGACGTTTACCAATTCGGTGAAACACACGAGCACGGGTATGCTGCTGACAAACCTAGAAACATAATCGGGGCCAACCGGTATTCAAATCATAGGTTTCTGGCGTGCCAAAGGGACGCAACTCTGCACAGCGAATTGCGGCGCATTAGACGACTGGGCAACCCGTGCCCCCTACAGTCTGTGAAGTTGTAGACTTATCTATTTATAAAAATTGACTTCAATATGTTTTTGTATTGGAGTTATAAGTTATAAAACAAGTTTGCCTTCTTTGAAAAAAACCCACAGTATTCACACAGGTTTTTACATTCATAACTCCATAAACACAAAAAATATTGAAGTCAATTATTAACTAACAATTGAATCAAAACTAACATGTGAGAAGGCTGAAAACAATCACAATGCTAATCAAAACCCTCATCTCTTACACCCATTATTTGCCTGACTACGGTAACAATCAGCCCGGCAACATCAGCCGGGCTGGCAACACATCCATTATTTACAACACAAGCAAAAAAATGCACTCAGCGTTTTTCAGCCCAGCCCCATGGTTAAACAGTGTTAAAGTCGGGAGGAGCACGAGATGATGTTAAAAGCTTAGCTGGCTGTCGAAGTGTGCAGACGGGCACAGCAGATGCGCAGATGCACATGTAACGGTTGAAATAAGCCGCAAAACTGACAGTTCACATGTGTAGACCTGGTGTTTATTTCGCTTTGAAATTAACACGCTTTGACAGGAAAACATTATCGAGGAAAACCCCTTTCCCAATGGCAAATAAACTTTCTTTCATGTGTGATGTTGAAAAACGAGCTGCTATTTATCACAACTTATTCCAATTTGTTAAATCAATTTTTCAAAGATTCGTAAGATAAAATTTACACATAGTAAAGCAATATCACCCTTCCATTTGCGATGTACAGAAAATGAATATCTTTTAGCTTTTGAGACGCTATCTGCTCATATTTCACTTCTTTGATGTATGTACATTATAAACAGCTACCAATCAACATATCAATTTATTTCTGATACCTTTAACTTACAAACACTTTAAGCCCTGTATTTGAAAAGTTTCTTAAATACATGTGGTACATTTATTAAAAAAACAAATTTGACATAAGATATACACTCTTCACATCTAATCTGCATACTCAATCAGTGCAGACAGATATTAATTTCATAAATCTGATCTAAGATGTATTTCAAAGTAAATATTTCATAATGCTTTGTATTAGGTCTGTTTATTATCATATAGAAGTGTACCTTCTGGCTTCTTGTAAAATGAAAGTGAACGGAAAAACGTTCGAAATCAAGACATTTTTTCTGCAAAACACATTGTAGACCATCATTAAATGTCACAAAAAAAACTTTTTTTATGAACCAGTAGGATGGATTTGTTATCATATGATTAAAGTTGTATATTTTCAATCCCATTAACATTTCTCTCATCTAGTCATTCACCTGATGAAGGAGTAAGCATATACTCCGAAACGTTGTGTTCCTCATAATAAAGAAGTTGACATCCATATATTCTCTTCCTTAGTTTCCTTAAAGTTCTTAGTTACAGAGACAGAAATATTTTGTTTGTGAAATCTTTTACTTACAGGAGTTGTAGATTGATTAATCCATTGAAAACACCAGGTGGTAAATCCGATATCTTGTTTCCGTAAAGCACGCTGAAAACCAGATTGACATAGATATTAATATACATTGTGACAGACCAATGAAAATGACAAAAAGCTGTTATTCTTGTGGCAGTGTATCCTTTAACAAACTGGAAACTTATGCCTAAGCTTGACGTAAGAAATGACTCCATGTTATCAATCGTTTTCACAAATATACAGACTGATTTCACACAGATGACATATCACTCACAACAGTTGTAAATAAATATACTGAACGAAAAAGTTAGAGAACATGAAAATTTTGGTGGACATCTTCATGAAATTGCATGCTCAGTCTTTACAATAAAGAAATATACCCAAATATTCATGATCTCTTAATTTTTGTTTGTTTGGTATAAAATGAAAATTTGTAATATTAATAAGGAACTTTTATTAATTGTTGTGTCACTTATTTACAGGTTGCAATAGTTGTTAAATAATCGCCGATATTCTGTATAAAGTGAGTGAGTTTGACACTGTTACGAACAATATTTCAGTCATATCACAATGCGTCAGCTTGAAGTCCAAGTAAAGCAAATCCCAAAGTCACACAGGTTGTAGACATTTGTAAATCCAACAACCAGGGTATGGTGCTGACAGATCAAAGATCATTATGAGGACAAATCTAGGATCCCAACCCAGGTGCAGATCCTGGCAAGGCTAAGGGACACAACTCTGCAAAATGAATTGCAGCACCTTTGACACCTGGGACAAACCCACAAGCAGATCCTGGCAAGGCTAAGGGACACAATTCTACACAATGAATTGCAGCACCTTAGACATCTGGGACAAACTTGCAAGCAGATCCTGGCAAGGCTAAGGGACACAACTCTGCACAATGAATTGCAGCACCTTAGACCACTGGGCCTCTGCTGCCCTGGATGAAGTACATGAAATGTGACTAGTGTGAGATATGGTATTTACAGTGTTCTGAGAGACTGGAGTCCAGAGAAGGCATCAGGGGCGATGTAGGAGATTTGATTATTGCTCATATCACTGAAACACAAAACACAGAATAGGTAACTTCATGCCAAGTTCATGAACATACATCTACATAAAGGTTTAATACCACTGTAAGACAAGTTCTTCTATAACTTGGTTCACAGGTCAGGATCAGACAAATACAATATAAAACGTCAACGCCAGAAAACAATCAGTCTTGATCATTACCCGAAACAGATTTCAACGGATGTAAAAGGCAAAATAGGGTGAAAATTATATGAATGGATCACTTTAAATAAATGATGACACCAGGTGTTCGCAAAAAGGGTAAGTATGTCTTGCTCTACCGGTGATATGAAGGAACAAACCGTTAATGTAATTATTTCTTGAAAAATGTTTCATTGGCACTTAAATTAAATATGTTTTTAATATTTTCACGGTTCCAGGTGAACTGATTGGTTGGATGATCAGGATGCAGGAACCACAAGTATTAAATTATTTTTGACCTGAAGGAGATAAGGAATTTAACATGATGACATGATGCTTTTAGTCACACAACAACTCACATCCTCTGAAGCTTGTGAAGTTCTGAAAATACTCTCGAAGGAATCTGGGTTATATGGTTTTCTTCAATCCGCCTGAAAAAAAAAAGGAAACGTATTAACATTACAGCATTTTCCCAGCTGAGACTCAGGTTAGCCAGTGCTTATAGAATCATTGATGGACAATGCAACACCTTGAATGACAGGGGACACGAGATCCGACATCAACAGAAGGTCTTCCACTTTATCACTCTGTCAGGCTCCAAGACATTTGGTGCCAATACCGAATTGGATCCGACATGTTGTACAGCTGGTGTCAGAGACGACCTAACTGTTCAGATCAGATTCGGCACATTGAGGCAGAACTCCTCAGCAGTACTGATGGGTGACCAGAACATTGACTCACAGAGGTGGGATTCCTGACATTGTGTTTATGATCAAATATGTCATGTGTATGGATATTTCGTGAATGGATCACTGACTCGCATGTCAGATCTAGCCTTGCTCCAAGGCTGTAACAAATGTTTTATTTGGGATAATACTTTCTTAGTAAAGTACAGATTCTCGTACTTTTTTGGGTTGAGTCCCGTCCGGGATTCGAACCCACACTTGCCAGAGTGAGGCTCAACCCCAAAAAGTACAAGAATCCGTACTTTACTAAGAAAGTGTTATCCCAAATATAACATTTGTTACATTTGACCACTTTCTAAATGGCATTGTGTATCCAAGGCTGTAGTTAATCATAAGTCCGTGGGTATATAGTACTTCTATCCTCATAACAGACAAGTCCAGATAAGCGGACAACTTGTTCTTATAATGAATTGGTAGTCAGGGAAACTGTCAGTATTCCTGATACTTTAACTGCCCTTAAACGATCTACAAATGCATTTCTAACAGTAAGTGAGTGAGTATGGGTTTATGCCACTTTTAGCAATATCCCTGCAATAGTACAGCATGGGGACTCAAGAAATAGGCTTCACACATTGTACCCATGTGGAGAAAATCAAACACAGGCCTTCGTAGTGATGAGTGAACGCTTTAACCACTTGTCCACCCATGTCTATTTGTACAAAAATATAATTGTAAAATGTCATGTTTTGAAGAAATAATCTTATTTAATTACATACATAAATGCTGTTCTGAAGAAATAATCATATTTAATTACATGTATGAACGTGATTTATTGTAATCATATTGTATTTGCTGTCAGCTTTTGACTTGAATATCAATAAACTAAGCCGAACACGAATATTTCTAATTCACAACCTACTAAAACATGAATAAATGCAAGCCATCGCTCCAAGACAAGAAAATTGAATACGCCCAAATAAGGCTTCCGGACCAAATGTATCAAATCTCTATAAGAAATTGTACACAGAGACAGTTGAGGTTATGTGAAAGTTTACACCACAAAAAGCACAAACATAATTCCCAGCACACCATAAAGAACAAATTGAGAGACAATAATTGGATGACGGAGTAATTTCCCTTTCAAATACTGCCGAGTTGACATCGGCAACTTTGTGGCGCTTTGAGCATTGGGCTTCAAACACTCTCCTCCAATTTGTGGTTTTACCGACTTGGCGATCAATCGACCACTTAACATGCTCAATTTGATTCAAATTTGTTTTTCGTCTTGTAACACAGCAGTTCCCAAACCTTACTCAAACGACAATTGATTTGTCAAAATCATTCACAAAACACCCACTATCAGCCATCTGCTGGGTGCAATATGTTTGGATGAAAACAGCGTTTCTTCCATGAGAATCGATGACGGAAGGCAACCGAGATCAATGGTGAGGGAATGTGTTCACATATGTTCCTAACCGATTCCGACAATCAGAGACTTCGAAAAGCAAACCCATTCAAGGAATACAAACCAAGACGAACATTTGATTAAATTTAATTCCTTTGGTCCTTGTTGATGCCTACTATAGTATTTAAGTCAGGGACCCCGTGAGTGAGTGAGTGAGTGAGTTGGGTTTAACGCCGCTTTTAACAGTATTCCAGTTATATCACAGCAAGTCAGCTTAATGTGGGAGGAAAGCCCAAAGTGATGCCGGTCTCAGATGTTTTACCACTTCGGTGACATGCATCAACCAAGTCAGAGAGCCTGACCACCTGATATCGTTAGTCGCCTCTTACGACAAGCATGGTCGCCTTTTACAGCAATCTCAGATTGCTGAAGACCTATTCTACCCCGGATCTTCACGGGCCATTATTTGGAACATTATAAAGCTTTATCAACACACAAACACAGAAGCCATTGTGGCCATCTAATCCCCCATTTATGAAGACTCACAGTTCAGTGGCTGTCTCTGGGATGTTGTCCGGAATCTGGGTCAGGCCCTTGTCCCGACAGTCAATGATGCCCTCAGTACAGGTGCACTCTCGGGGGCACAGGTTCTCGGCCACACAGGCGTGTGGGTGAGGGTTGTCCACGCCCGCTGCAATACACAGGAACATGTATACTTCAAATTCATAGTAAGTATCGTTTTTATAGTTGCAGACAGCTCTAGTCCGACCACAGACCTAATTAATAGTCATGTTCAATTTTTACAAATTGAAAAATGCAAATGAAATAAAACTTTAATTTCATAAATAAATCTAGCTATTTGCAATATTATCAGTTAAATCACCAAGAGTTATTTTTGTAATTTCGTCAATGTTGTGATAAGTTTCCAACGAAATGAATCACAAAGTTCTGTATCAAATCATAAAGCTGAAATTTACCCTCAAGAAACTTGACACTACTGCAGTAACAGAATATTTTGAATAATATTTATTTGAATCAATTCATAACTTCTTGTCACTTTCTAGTGAATGGTATTTGTACATTCCACCAATCGTATTGCAACTTTTTTCATAACGTTCAGAATCTTCCCACAAATACATGAAAGAAATAACTATATGACTGTCGGTCACATGCTAGATTGTGAAATTGTAGCCTCTGCTGTCAAATAAATATCATAAACCTAATATCTTTCTGCAAAACATTAAGCAAGCTATTTCACAATAAGATACATGTTCCATCTGAACTCAGCTGCAACAATCAAAACTAAAATTCCTTCTCAAATAGTTGTCTGTAAAATATGACGAAACCTTAAAGTAGTTGTCTGGAAAATATTACTTAACCTAAAAGTAGTTGTCTGGAAAATATTACTTAACCTAACAGTAGTTGTCTGGAAAATATGACAAATATGGTCTGGACCACATGACCAGACACATGATGATCATCTGCAACACATGGGTTCCATTGCGGCCTTGTTGCAGCCCATCTTAAACTGGTCCCTCTTAACCTTTGAGTAGATGACAAACTGCTTGTGTACCTTGTTTCAAAACACACACAGTAACTGAATATCTCTTGTTTATAGCCCTGCTGCCAAGCATTACTTTAATGGCTGCCATCTTGTTTCAGAGCGATCTCTTATACTTGTTAATGAGCTTCTGTTTTTGGTGCTTGCTTTTTCGTCGACGGAAGTATAATGGATGTTTTTGTACTGAACAAAATAGTAGCTTTACACCTTTTACACCTAGTTGTTTTGGGAACAAATCTAGATTGATTAGTAAATATTTACTGTATTTTGACGCACCATGTAAACAACGATTATCTAGTCTATGTTTAGAGCAGATCTCATTATAGGTTCTCCAGCCCTATTACAGTTCAATATTTTAAGTGTATCAATATTTGTCCTCAAACTGAAGTGTATCAACTTTGTAAAGAGCCTTGATCCAAGGCTGCTCTGAATGGAAAAAACTTGTTATTCCTATTATTGAATCCTTGTAATTAGAACATCTAGATAGATCAATGACAGTCTTTTACAGGACAAACACAAGTAGAAAATGTTCTAATAATTTATTTCAAAAATTTATCCTAAAGTTCAAAAAGAATTTAACCATTAATTTCTTATTTACTAATACCTAAAAACAAATCTAAAGATTGCAGTATATTATTAGTACAAAATAAGCAGAATCTTTAAAAAACAAGTATTCGTCACAGAGTGACGAAATATCCCCCGCCATATACACTATAGTACCAAATATGAAGACAATCCAGCGATTAGTTCTTGAGATATTGTGGCAACACCGTTTTCCAACTCCAAAAACAGATTTGCCTGCTGTGACCTTGAAAATTGGGTCAAGGTCACCAAATCTGACAGGTGTATGCGGTGTCTGTATATACACTATAGTTCCAAATATGAAGACAATCCAGCGATTAGTTCTTGAGATATCGCGGCAACACCGTTTTCTAACTCCAAAAGCAGATTTGCCTGCTGTGACCTTGAAAATGGGGTCAAGGTCACCAAAACCGACTGGTGTCTGCGGTGTCTGTATATACACCATAGTTCCAAATATGAAGACAATCGAGAGGTTTAGTTCTTGAGATATTGTGGCAACACCGTTTTCCAACTCTAAAAGCAGATTTGCCTGCTGTGACCTTGAAAATGGGATCAAGGTCACCAAAACCGACTGGTGTCTGCGGAGTCTGTATATACACTATAGTTCCAAATATGAAGACAATCCAGTGTTTAGTTCTTGAGATATCGCGGCAACACCGTTTTCCAACTCCAAAAGCAGATTTGCCTGCTGTGACCTTGAAAATGGGATCAAGGTCACCAAAACCGACTGGTGTCTGCGGAGTCTGTATATACACTATAGTTCCAAATATGAAGACAATCCAGTGTTTAGCTCTTGAGATATCGCGGCAACACCGTTTTCCAACTCCAAAAGCAGATTTGCCTGCTGTGACCTTGAAAATGGGGTCAAGGTCACCAAAACCGACTGGTGTCTGCGGTGTCTGTATATACACCATAGGTCCAAATATGAAGACAATCCAGTGTTTAGTTCTTGAGATATCGCGGCAACACCGTTTTCCAACTCTAAAAGCAGATTTGTCTGCTGTGACCTTGAAAATGGGATCAAGGTCACCAAAACCGACTGGTGTCTGCGGAGTCTGTATATACACCATAGTTCCAAATATGAAGACAATCCAGTGTTTAGTTCTTGAGATATCGCGGCAACACCGTTTTCCAACTCTAAAAGCAGATTTGTCTGCTGTGACCTTGAAAATGGGATCAAGGTCACCAAAACCGACTGGTGTCTGCGGAGTCTGTATATACACCATAGTTCCAAATATGAAGACAATCCAGTGTTTAGTTCTTCAGATATCGCGGCAACAAACAGGTGGGACGTACGGACGGACGTACGGACAGACGGACGGACGGACGGACGGACGGACGGACGGTCGTGAATACTATATCCCCCGCTTCGCGCTTTCGCGCGGCAGGGGATAATAATGTCTGAATAAACAAACATGAAATACTCATATCCCTGGCGAATATGACATGTCCAGAATACCACATATATGTTAGCAGATTCTGAACGTAGACCTTGATTCTGTTTACTTGTAACTTAATGAAATAATCCCTAAATAAATCAGTCCATTGGTTAATTATTTATGTTTTCATCTTGTCTTGTTCTGACAACAGGAATTCCCATGCTGACTCTCAATAGTGTATTAAAGGAACCCTTGTTAACTTTTTTTGGTTTTACAAGTGCTTCAATGACCCTTCATACTACTCAACCAATAGTCTGTATTATGAAAAGCCCACAAATACACACATATACACTGGATCGGATACACAGGCACATAATGAGAGACATGATCAGACACACAGTCATGATCAGACACAGACACACACACAGGCACAGACACAAATAGACAGACACACCTATATATGATCAGACACAGACACACACACAATCAGACACAGACACAAATAGACAGACACACCTATATATGATCAGACACACACACAATCAGACACACAGACACAAATAGACAGAAACACCTATATATGATCAGACACAGACATGATCAGACACACAGACACAAATAGACAGACACACCTATATATGATCAGACACAGACACGATCAGACACACGGACAAACTGGCACACCCATGCATGACCAGTTACAGAGACACAATCAGACACACAGATACGATCAGACACAGAGACACAAATAGATATACAGGCACACCCATGCATGATCACACACAGACACACACAATCAGACACACAGATACGTTCAGACACACAGACACAAATAGAGACCAATAGTGCACACACATAAATAGACACAGATACACATGATGAGACACACACACACACGCACGCACGCACGCACGCACGCACGCGCACACACGCACGCGCACACACAGGCACACGCACACGATCAAATGACCTATCGATCTCTGAGTCGTGCCAGCAGAACTTCATGACCAAACAACATTACATACAGATTAACACTGCAGTTCCTAAAAGATGAAAATACTTACGAATACACCTGAAGTCCATGTCCTGGAGCTCAGCTATCTCGTTGTTCTTCAAGTGACTCGGAATGGCACACTCGGTGAAGAGAGCCAGAGTTGGGTTTGCTCGCAGCCATCGCGCCAACCACGCCAGGTGACAGTCACACACCAGGCGGTTGTCACTGATCCGTCTGAAACACAGGCAGTGTCACCATGAGGTCTCAATGATGGAGTAATAGTGTTGAGATAGTATTTCCACATCAGTTCTCAGCAAGAGGAAACGTGGCTGGCACAGTGGTCAATACTGCCATTGTTAAGTGAGTGAGTGAGTGAGTGAGTGAGTGAGTGAGTGAGTGCCAGTGTGAGTGAGTGAGTGAGTGCCAGTGTGAGTGAGTGAGTGCCAGTGTGAGTGAGTGAGTGCCAGTGTGAGTGAGTGAGTGCCAGTGTGAGAGAGTGAGTGTCAGTGTGAGTGAGTGAGTGATTGAGTGAGTACCAGTGTGAGTGAGTGAGTGCCAGTGCGAGTGAGTGGTATACCGGTAATATCACACACCTCTAGTTTTATGCTACTTTTAGCAATATTCCAGCAATATCCTGGCAGGGGACACCGGAATGGGCTTCCTGATTTTTGGCGAGATGAGCGTTACACTACTACAGTATCTGCTGGTCTCCGAAATCCCAGAATTGCCTCAACAATAGTCCTCCTCATTAGTGAGTATGGTTTTTCACAGTTTTTAGCAATATTCCAGCAATTTCCCGGTGGGACACCAGAAATGGGCTTCAAACATTGTACCATGTGGGGAATCAAACCCAGGCCTTTGACATGAGGAGTGAATGCTTCACCCACATGGCTACCCCATTACCCCCGTTCCCATTATGAAGAAGCAGAGCTATGGCCTGAGGTGTACACAGTTGCAATACTTGGGGACTAGACATATTCTGGTGGGGGTGTTGATAGTTGTGAGAGAATGACTATTTTTTTCTGTTCCAGCTTTAAAAGTTACATCATATTTTCAGTGAACAGTAATATTTCTTTCCAAAACCTAATGGAAATTATTTATTTCCAGAATCTTCATCTTCTGGAGAAAAAAATATGTAAATAAAAATCCCAGGCACTTTCCAAATATCAACTTGTCCGTGAAGCGTTTTTTTTAACATGGTCTGTGTCTGATTGCAGTGTATTACATCCCATCCGTAATAACTATTGCCCTCTATGTATATATAACAAACACTCTTTGCATTTATCATCAATTCGTAAGTCTGCCAAACATTCCTGCTGACAATCCTACTGAAAGGTATTTGTGTCTACTGATTTCAGATAAACCACCTTACTTCATCTAATTTCACATCTCAGTACCAACAAGCAGTCGCTTCCTTCAACCATGAATGGCTTTACGACTCCAGCAACCCTATGCAAGTACCCACCATCCGAATTCCATTCAGACAAAACCTCCTTCAGTCTGTTAATCCTATATCACTCAGCACATTTCCCAACTCCCACCTCACTGGAACCTCCATACATCATGACACGCAGAGGTCAACTTTTTCTGGCCGGTTTATTCCCACTCAAACAACTCCTGCCACCTTATTTCAGTAACTGTGTTGAAAGCCATTTCTCACCTGGGCAAGTGAGTGTATTGGCTTACAGGTAAGCATATCACCTTCACACGTCAGAATGTTTACGATCCTTGTCTAGACATTATCAGTGTAAACATGCCCAGTCGTATTTTACGGATAAAGTATGGCTACTTTTCCGCTGGTCAGTTTAATGAGTTTATGGTTATGAGGCTGTCCTAGGCATAGGTGCTAAAACATCGTGAATGTGTATCACGGGTTGTGCATTCCTTACAGCCAAAATATTGCATGTCTGGTCGTCTTTAATGGCCGCACTGACTCATGGGAGAAGAATAAGTGTCTACTTGAAATCAAAAGGTCAAATTTCATGCAGTTCACGAGGCGTGTCTGCTACATTTTACATGTACTTGTATATTATGATTGTCTAAGAGGGCAATGAGTGCTTTGCACCAAAAGGGCAAGATATCAGTAACTAGATCCGTGAGAAGATATCGAGAAAATATAACACATCAAGATCAGAGAATAATAAGCTGCAGAAACAAATACCATTTGTAGAAACAGGCAAAACAGCACTGAAAATTATAAGGACGGATCACTGAAAATCAGTTGTGACAACTGGTGTTCGCGAAAACTCATCTTAAAGTTTATACTGTTCTGAAAACAAGTGCAAAAAAATTAAACGATGACACAGTAGGCAGTGGAAATGTACTGTAGATGATGGAAATATTGAGATTAACAATAGGGTATTCATGTTGCCCAATGTGGTCAGGTTCCTGTCCTATGTCAGACAATAGGGTCGTGCTGTTTCTATTGCAATGATATTATACTCAGGTCTTATCCAGATCTCAACAGTCGTTCTTGTTGTTTCCATCCCTCTTCTCATCCATCCATTTCCCCATCATTAATTCATCCTCCCTCCCTCCTATATTGTTCATCTTTCCTCTTCCCATCCATCCATCCATCCACCATCCATCCATCCTTAAATTCATCCTCCCTCCTTCCATAATAATATTCATCTTTCCTCTTCCCATCCATCCATCCTTAAATTCATCCTCCCTCCTTCTATAAAATTATTCATCTTTCCTCTTCCCATCCATCCATCCACCATCCATCCTTAAGTTCATCCTCCCTCCGTCTATAAAATTATTCATCTTTCCTCTTCCCATCCATCCATCCACCCATCCTTAAGTTCATCCTCCCTCCTTCCATAATAATATTCATCTTTCCTCTTCCCATCAATCCACCCATCATTAAATTCATCCTCCCTCCTCCCATAATAATATTCATCTTTCCTCTTCCCATCAATCCACCCATCATTAAATTCATCCTCCCTCCTCCCATGAAATTATTCATCTTTCCTCTTCCCATCCATCCGTCCACCATCCATCCATCCTTAAATTCATCCTCCCTCCTCCCATAATATTATTCATCTTTCCTCTTCCCATCCCTCCATATTTAATCCCATTTCTTCAACAGGGTGTTACAATGTGTGTAGCCAGTTTCTAATGTCCCCTCTATGACATGGCAGGACTATTGCCAAAAGTCGAGTAAAACCCTACTCACTACCTCATCTAATACAACAACCAATTCTCCTCCTCACAGCACCATCAACATCAAACAGCTCTACTTCACCTCCTCATCACAGCCACCAAGCAAAGAGGTCAACATCAAGAACACCCCCATGCACAAAGTCATTCTCATCATGCCATACCTTCTCTCCCAACTTCTTATCAGACCAACAGATAAGAGCACTCATTATTGACAAGTTAATGGACACTTCAGGCCCAAGGGTGGCATCATCTGTACAAATCCCTGCTATATCAGCCCTCCAGATACCATTGGCCGTCTGCCTGTACGTCCTAAGAGCTGATGGTCACCATGATGGAAACAAATGGCTGAGAATCCTTTAATCCTAGAAGCATGTGAATCATCTGTAATGACCAACCGATACAGATCCTGCTGAAAGATGATATTCCTTAATTACGGCACCCTTGACTACCCAGCGGTCAACTATCTGGACATGTAGAGCCTGTGGCTTCTTGGGGTGACAAAACCATACAACTCCTTAGTTTACGATAATAGATATCTGAAACATAAGTTGTCGTTTTGTATAGGTGAAGAGCTAACATGTTCGCTCCTGGATCTGATTGCTCCGCACCTTATAGATCTGATTGCACACTGGTGATATATCATGGAACACTTCCAAGGCATGCCAAAAGCATGTTTATCAATACGGACAATATTAGGATGTTAGCATGTGGTTTGTCTTGAGACAAGGTGGATCTTCTAATCATTGACTCATGACCTTTGTCTCAAAGATTATAGAGTGTGTGAGTGATATGGATTTAACATCTCTTGGAACAGTACTTCAGTTACGTTAGTGAATATTGTTCGAGGAAAACCCCATGTGATGTAACAGGCATATACCTCATAGGTTTAGCCAGGCAAGTCGCCATCAGCCCAAAGTTATAAATGAAGTAACATGAATTTGGAACCCATGACCACTGGATCCTGGACTAGCAAAGGGACAACACTCTGCACAACTAAGTGTCATCCTGAGTGAGTGTTGAGTTATGCAGGACCATAGAGAACACCATACAAGAATCATTAACTTATTGCACAAAAAACACCCATGTCGGGCAGATTACAACAATTTGGTTGATAGAAACTAGTATGCACATAGACTTACATACTGACATCCTAATGACCCATTTCTTACAAAACCCTGACAATTAGATTCAATTTATTGTCACAAACAGACTTAACTTGAAAAGAAATCACTCCATGAAATGTTCAGTGGCTCTTGGAATGTAGCCGAATAGGTAGACTTTGTTCTATCTAATACTTGGGAGGACATTCTGTCATAGTGAGCGAAATGTTCCTTTGCCTGATATTGTGAACCCTCTGGTGGTTATATTTTTGGACAATATGTCCATTTCAGAAGTGCAGCTACCATTAAAGACAAGCCAACTCTCTACCTTCAAAAGACATAACATTTATATTGAGGTTGTCCACCACCAGTCATTCTAATGGTCTGAGTCAGACAAATAACGCCAAGCTAAATATGAAATTCCAAGCATGAGCACAAGAAGAGAGTGAACTGCATGACCTTGTTTAATAGCTATTGTTGCTGCCTTATGTATCACCACAAACCTGGTGCAAGTCTATCTGCCTATACATCTCTGATACCACCTTCTCAGCCCCTTCTCCACCTGGCATCTCACACATGGGATGTTGTACTCCTTGACTCCACGACCATCACAGATCACACCAGTCACAGGTCACCTGACAGTTGAAACTTTCCGACCCTGGTCGGGTGCCATCTTTCCCCTGTGGCATGACTGGTTGCGTGTCTAGCACCATTGCCCTTGGGCGGGGACACTTGACTGGTCCCGTGGGACCCCAGACAAAGGTCACATCTGGGTGGTAGACTACACAATTTAACCCCTATGTTATCCTTGGTAATATGTCAATGAGGTGTGTTTGGGTTTGTGACCACTGTAGTGTGGGTATGTGAGGTGTTTATTGTTTGAAGAACCCCGGGAGACGGAATTATTTCTGGCGCTATGTGGAGGTGGTGAATACACAGAATATCAACCACTTGGTGGGGAGTTATGAT